AGAGGCACAGAATAAGTCACTGTATCCCATAGTTATATGATACATTTTACTAAGTTCATCCCACAACTACACATGATGTGAGACATAGTATATAAAAATACAATTTATCCACTTTAGGGAGACTTAAAGAAGTGTCAATGTTTCTGGACCATGAAAGACTGGATCATTGTTAATGTTTCTGGACCATGAAAGACTGGATCATTGTTAATGTTTCTGGACCATGAAAGACTGGATCATTGTTAATTCAAAGAGACAGTTTGAAACAACGGTTGATGTTCCAGAACAGAGAAGAAGGTATTTAAAAAATTCTTCCCATAAGCCCAATGAGCACAATTTTTGGGAAAAAATGTGGACAACAAAGGCCAGGTTGAGCTCAGAAAAAGACATGGTATGTCAAACAATGGGGACTTGTTTAGCTAACAGTCAAATTGAGTAGTAGTATAAGGAAGAGTTTTTGGATTAAAGACATTAGTACTTTTCAAACAATGCTCTACTCTTCAATAGTAATCATCATCATCCCTCTTGTCCTCCTGTTTTATTGTGAATTTAAACCTCTGCATCCATAAGTATCCATCAGTATCTCTCATCAGCAAAACCACTGTCATCTCTATTCATGTTTGGCTCTTTTTGCTGCTAATTCTCGAGCCTACAATGAAATATCATTTATATTAAGCTGGTGCTCATTCCCTTCTATAGACCACAAAGCTGCTTACAGTGCCATATTCATAATAATGAGGAGCTAGTTCATACAGCCAAGAGGACTGGATCTAGAAAAGAAAAAACGAAAGACTTGGTCATGTTTACTCAGTGACTCAAACCCAGTCTTCAAACTAACACGACGCTCATGGAATTGTTTTACGAATGAAGAGATGATATCTACAGCTGTTTGAAAGTACAAGCAAAACTATTTATTGAGAAAACTTTTAAATGACCTAATTGAGACGTTATTCCGAAGGAAAACACGAACTGTTATTAAATAAAAATAATGAATTAGTCACAGCTGATTCGTGTTACACAAGAGCCAGATCACCCTCTCCTCCCACAAGAAAAAAAATATAACAAAGTTTATTTCATCCAGTTTATAACAAAGTTTAAAGAGACTGCAGTCACCGACAATTAAAAGTAACTATCCAATGGGACACGATATCTTGGCTTTGCAGCTTCTCTATTTACCCCCAACATAAAATCCGAAAAAAATATACCTTAAGCAAAATCTTCAGTAGTTCAGGATGAGCTACTGCATAATGAAGAACTGTGCCATTTTTATCTCTTTTAACGAAACGATCTTCTTTTAGCAATTCTTTCACGTGTTCAACATGACCACCTTCTACTGCAAGGAGCAAGGCACGATGAGAGAGACCTGCATAACGATCGCGCGTATACGTAGGCGACGCTTGCCCGCTGTACGGCATTTTATCACTGTTGTAAAATAAGGGTTCTTCTATTATCGTGGCATGCTGTACAGGTAAAGCTTCATCCGTTTCTTCTATAATCGCGGCATGCTGTACAAGTGAATCTCCCATCGGTTCTTCTCTTATCTTGTTTTGCTGTTTAAGTAAATCTCCCATCGTATCAATAAACCTTGACAATATCTCCTCCATGCCATTTTTACGCACAGCGTCAACCAAATAACTACCACCACTATTCATTTCTTCTTGAAAACAGGAACGTATCATATCTTCATCTTGTTGCAGACAAACGTCTACAGTACTTTCATCTCCGCTGTCCACAGCTACATGAAGTATATTATGGTGATGTTTCCCGCCATGTTTCTTGCTGAACAATAACTTTTTCACTCTATTTTTTTCTATTGAAAGACCATTTATAATATTAAAGAAAATAAACAGCAAACAAACTTTACACTTCCTAAAATATAAACTAAGATACCGCGTGTTCGCGTATAAGGAGATGAATGAACAACAGAATATGAATAGTAATAACAGTCTTTATCCTACACCTAAATTAATAGGAAGCCAATAATATAAGAAACTGGTTGTATTGATAGCCCGAAAAACTTAAGAATTAAGCGATCATGTCAGAAAAGATGAACAACATATGGAACAGAGCAAGAATATTGAAATAAAACACATAAATTGCAAAAACCGTGTAAAAAGGAGAGCATGTGCTCTTTAAGATAGAGAGAAGAAACACAATGAATCTGAGTGTTGTAAATTTTTAAAGAGTAGAGCAAGAAGCAATATGGCTTGAGCGAAAAGTATATAAATTTGTCTTAATTAAAACACCAGGAATGGTTTGGAAAAACAGGCGGCATGAACAATATAGCATATAGACAAAGAGATAGCAAAGACAATGCATTAGCAAAATGATAAAGTGCGTCATATGAGAAACAGCTGTTCAAGTTGTTAATTTATATTATAGTTTATATTGCCTTTCATTAGTAATAAATAGACGATCTTATAATGCTCAAAAAGATGTGGTCTATCTTATTGTAGAGTTGTTAACTCCAACGAAAAATATTTTCGACTTAGTTTCATCTCTTATTTTTCACCTTCATATTCATATAAAAATATATTGATATGTAATACATTAAAAGATTCGTCATTAGCTTTATAAGATTATAAAATTACATATTCACTCAATATAGAATCTCCTAAAATGCCAACAAAGACCTAAGCAGGAAAAAAGTAAACCAAGAATACAAACAACTCACCGTGTTGATAGCATTTCAGAAAAAGATAAATGTCATTTATAAACCCGTACTGCATTTAAGAGTTTTTCGATATTTGCCCTAAAATAGCTCTTTTAGAGGATAAAAAAACATTTAAAACACTTTTTGAGCTTAGAAGAAATTGAAAAAAATGTTTGCACCTTGAGGCTTTGAAACTCGTGTAAAAACAGAAAAGTTTTCCGTCCTTGCTGATAACTGATAGGCTGGTGGAAACACGATATTCACGTTTGTGCAAAGAAGTTCCAAAAATAGTGACGTTGCGAAGTTGTTTGACTGTTTTCTTTCTTGTTATCATCGTCAAGAAAGAATGTTTGGCTGAACCTAGAAAGATCGGGAATGATTTTTTCGATGACGATAACGCTCACGTATTTTTGAAAAGCAAAAGACGCATAAAATATAAACCAAGCCAAGGAGATAACAACATATTTGGAAGTATTCTAAACAAAGAGAATAAGGAAAGAAAAGATCCGAAGAACGGAAGAAAAAGAGACGAAATGACTGGAGTTAAATATTAGACAATTCAAACGTAAAATCAGTAGATGTTTAAATGGAAGAAAAAAATAATGTCAAAGGAAATTAGGAAATTCTCGCGACAAACATTTCCTTATTATGATACATGTATATAGAGTAGAATTTTCGCCATATGATTAAAGTATTCTCACAGTTAATTAATTTTTTTTGTTTCTATGAAAACATTCCATGAAAATTTTGATAAAGACCAAAAGAAAACATAATGTTATGGTCTTAATATTGGCAATATACATATTAAACACAGAATTTGAAGTTTATTCAAATAATCCCTTACCTACTGAAAAGAAATATACTGGGAAAATGGCGTCAGTCTAAATTTGACCCGAGTAAATTGTCAAACGACTGAATCGCGATACAATATTAAAATGAGAACTAAAACTAAATTTTAGAAAATTTCTTTTTCTCAAGTGTTACATGTTTGCCTTCTTGTGGCTTGCTACATAGCAAATTGTAAGTCTGCGTCTAGCTGACGTTACCCTTGTTATGGCACTGCAACTTTTGTGTTAGCAAATAACTATCATATTAATATATGCATGATATACTAATATATTTGCCTTTTGAAATCCATTGCTATCTGCAGAATATAACATGCAAACATGAATACGTTTCAGTCTTAGAGACAACTGATTTCAATAAAAGAAATAATAAACTAGAACATGCATTTATGTATATGTCTCGCTCAAATATCAATCATTCAAAGTCCCTTAGTTGTCTGGGAGACAGCGATACCCCACACAGTAGAGCTCGACAGCTTTGGTCATACTAAAAAAAGTATTTGATTTAATTTTGTTTATTTTCAATTCAGTAGCTTTGAATGATATCGCCTCACGGTTATCTGTTACCAGTCTTTCTATTAGCATGTGCGACCTTCTGTTGGAACAGAAAAACGTGATATCTATTAAAGCAAAATATATTTAAACAAGGGAAACAGAAAACATGACTTGGATGAGTAATAAACAACTTAAACAACCTAGCAAGCAGAAACTTGAATATAGAAAAAAATTATCTAGTGTGGACAGGAAACAATTGATTTGAAGGGAAATGATGGCAAAAATACACCACCAACATATATTTTCATGATGGGAAACAGGACTTATACGGAAGGTTTTAAGATTTGTCCGTGTTCTATGTTCTTCAGCGTATGATCACGCACAATAGTTCGTCTCGTAATATAGTTTCTTAACTGTTTGTTTTTTTAATTGCTTTTTTCCTTTTGACTACATTATGTTGGAGTGAGGTTTGGTCATTGATAAGAAAAAATGAGTACACTTTTAAAAATTTGGAATTCAATTAATCATAAACGTTCATGTGGAATACTAAATTCTAAATGTGCTTCCAATTAATAAAACTCACACTCTAAAATTTGTCGGTGTCTGAGACTCCGATGAGACCGTGATGTCGATGTCTGATGGCTTACTGAGACCCTTATAGGAAATAGCATAATTTTATTAAGCAGCTGACATTAAAATATTGGGTTTTATGGACGTTGCAATATCTGCCCTAAAACCATCAAAAATGTTCTGAGGGTGTTTATAAGAGTCATTGATGCATGTTTGCACCTTTGCAGCTCCACATGTTTTACTAAAGTATAAAAGCAAGAAAGTGTCAACAAAGCCTGAGTAAGTGGGATAGATTCTGTTTTTTGCAAAAACATTGTGTAAATGAATGAATTGCGACTATGTTTAACTGTGATTTTCCTGACTCTATGGTCAAAAGATTGTCTGTGTGTGCAAAAAAGTATATGAGATGAATTTTTTGACGACGATAATAACGCTTACGTGTTTTTGAAAAGCAAAAGAAAATCTGAATATCAAAATACATAGTACGTGTCAATGAAATTTTTCTTCCTATGATCATTATATAAAAAACAATATAATATATATATATACTACACAATCAGACGCCGAATCCAAGAATCAAGATCACACAAACAACTCCATTCCAACACAAACGAATTTGTCACAAACATCTTGAGCAAACCACAACCGAACAGCAAACTAAAATTCTAAACAAAGGATCAAATTGCAACTTAAATAACCAGAACAAACTTGACTAGATTGCCGACCTGGAATCTGCTTTAAAATACACCAACCTAACAGACCAAACAAAAGAAACATTCGTCCGAAAATCACCAATAACCTTTGCCACCAACCACCAGTCACCATGGGCGACTCGAGGATTTTTGTTCTTAGTCAAAATGGCCTGAGGCGTTAGCTGCCTAGAGGGCAGCCGGAGGCATGCACCCTCCTGAAAAGGAGTTTTTCAAGAAAATAGCTTAAGACTATGGAACTTAATCCGTATCGCTCAATATCAGAGCTCATCAGCATAACTGGGATACAGTTGATAAATGAAATTTTTATTCACTGTAGCATTTGACATGGACGGCCAGGCCTTAGCAAACCCAAACTTAAAAAAATTCTTTAAGATTAGCCACGATAATTAGCAGTTGTGAGCATGATGATTATTACTGAAGACACACCACCAAAACATAAAACATATCTTAAGTCAAAAAAACAAAGAAAATCGAAACAAGACTCGCAGAACACAAAAACGCCATAAAACGACGAGATCTAAGCTCAATACCGGCAGAACATACCCACGGAAATAACCACACATTCGACTGGACAGAAACTAAAGAACTAGCACGCGCACAGACTAAACACGCAAGCAAAGTTAAAGAAGCTTGGTACTGCAAAGACAACGACACGATAAACAGACATATTGACATACCAATTTTATGCTCACAACTAAAGAAAAAGGACAAAAAAACTACAAATAACACCAAAAATACAACATTACACTTGAATAATATAAACACCAAAGATATTCACAATACATCAAAACCATGACAACGTATTCCACACTATCCAATCACATTAATCCACCGGCTAATCCAATTAGATGATCCAAACGTCTACAAATTAAAAACAATTGTAAACAACTTCCTATTTCATTCTGATGAAGGCTCGAAGCACCGAATCGAAAGCTCATTAAAATTATTTATAAAAATCCGGAGAAACTTTTATTTTTAAATAATATATTTTATTGTATATGAACTATGCATAAACAATAATCGTGTTGTGCTTTTAAAAAATCGTTTATATGAAGAAATTTTTTGCGAACACATATGGCTAGCATGATATTTTAAGCATGAATAAAGATGAGATGAAAAATATAAGATGAAAACGTTGCTAAACGTCGAATACTTAGAGACGGTTTTTAAAAGTATTATCAATTTTACAGGTTAGAAGTATACCTTCAAGATAGATAGAATGAAAAAATGCCATAGAAATAAAAGATGCTATTCAAATGACCGGAATGACGACCTGAGAGCAAGAACAAAAGTGAAGGATGTCATCGAGAAAGTTAATAAAGCCAAAGGAAAGTGGGCAGGACATCTAGCCCGAATGAAAAATCATGAATGGGCAAAGAAAACAACCGAATGGACCCCGTGGGACAAGAAAAGAGGCAAGGGAAGACCAAAAAGGAGATGGAGAGATGACATCGAGCAGAGAGCGGGCAGCATGTGGACCCAGAGAGCCCAAGACCGTAAAGAGTGGAGAAAGATGTGGAGGCCATCCGCCAGCAGTGGCGTGACAGGCTGATGATGATGATGATGATGATTCAAATGACCTAAAAGTGTTTGTTGATTTGAGTGACCAGATGTATGAGTGAATTATATTGAATATGACTAAGCTATATTAGCTCGTTAAATAAAAAGCAACCAATGTGTTTATGCAAATTCTATAAGCATCAATCAGTCAGCTATAATGAAAATTATAAACACAGCACAGAACTGTTAAGCATAGATTGTTAAGCAATTTCTTTTGAAATTTACAGAGCAGAGGGTCTTAAAGTTTGTTCTTGTTTATAAAAACGAGAAATGGTTATTTTTATGATATCAATATTTGCAAATTCTTTTATCCTTACAACTACATACAATTAATTGCAGGAAGTAAAATGAATACCTCGGAGCATGCAGGAATACTGAAAAGCGTAAAAACACACACAAATAATTTACATCATTACAAAATGTGAAAGAATAAAGATGATTATTCTTAACTCTGGAAATGAGACCATAAAATGGATAGCAGCATCATAATTGGAAAGTGGAGAGATGTGTATTTAAGAAGTTTTGTTTTCAAGAGTTTGAAATATTCAGGGGCGGATCTAGAGTATGTCAAATCCGTCGCGCGACTGTTTGAAATTCAAAAATTACCTATTCATATTAATTAAAAATTCATTAATTATTCTTACTTTATTATCGCATTTACTTCGTGATAAAAATCCAGCTTTATTTATTATTGAAAACTAATGACTAATGCAACGAATATCTCCTTGGTAACCAGATCAGTTGAATTTTAATCGACCTGGAATAACCGACTGATAAGCGGGGTGGCTTGACTGGTTCGACTTATAAAGGAGTCTATGAACGCCAGAAACGCTATTTTATTGGTCAATGGCAAGATCAGTGGACAGTCTGGAATAATCTCGACCGATAATAGGGGTGGCCGGACCTATAAGGGAGTCCAATTGCTATCTTACAATTGGTTCATTTGAATTTTTGCCTTACTGTGATTGGTTTGACCGATTTCGACTGATAGCCAACTGAACTAACATAGTCAAGCTCACTGTCTGAATTGAATGTTTGATCGTTCATGGTAATTTTCTGAAGCATGATAGAAGCTAAACTACAATCAGATGGAATTTATGGAAATCTTTTACAAATTCATATGTTGACATGAATGCTGCTTTCCAAACTGGGAATTTTTTCAAGAGGGTGAAAAATTTATGGATGAATTGTAAATGCTTGGCAAAGACGATCTCGCGAGCGACATTTCAGTCATTGATGTTCAAAAGCAAGCCAACATTGTTTTGAGTTTTATCAGCAGAAATTTACATCGAAAATCGTAAGTAAAGGACAAGTGAAGTGTATGCATGAATGCAATATATCAAAGTCAATTTATGCGAGTGTGTGATGCGATTTATGTTAATATGGCGTATGGTAAGCAGATTGATGCTTCTAAAATTGTTGTTGCCGAAGGACTTTTAGCTATGATTTCTTTAATGCTTGGGGATTCGTGGCCGTTATATGGCAGCGAAATCCTACATTTCTGCAAATATATTTCAATGGACAAAAAATCTGTAGCCATAAGGCACCATACTATTATTTACTTTATCATAAACAAATCTTTGGGCCTTTTCAGTTTATGATCATTGATCATTCAATCATTGGACAGTTATACTACATATTGTTTAAGATTTGAGAAAACTAACATTGATTACATGAGAAGCTGTTTACTATAACCTGTGATTTTGAGTCTTATGATCCATGAAGCTTTTTATTTTGACAATTTGACTAGAATGGTATTAAACCTAAGTATTTCACATACATGAAATGTTGTCCCATGTCACATATTGTCCCCTTTTCTAACTGAACACCTCATGTAGAGATGTAAAGGTGTGTTAATCTACGGCTCATACCAGATTGTTTGCCATAAATTCCAAAGGGCTATTGATGTATGAATAGCATTTTCTATAAAGTAAAATGTCTTCCAATGTATGCAGATAAACCTTGAAATTTGGCAAAACAGCAAAGTATTTTCATGATCACTAGGTAATTTTCTGATGATCAGTATAATTTCTAAACTAAATTATTTCAGATTTACATTTAAACGAGCTTTGATCATATGAAAAGATATTTATCATAACCAGTAAGCATGACACATGAACCAATTTTAACATTCATGTAATTATATAATTAAAGACATGTTGGTTACATTCTGTTTGTATTTGCAAATACAATGCTACTAGTGATTGCTATATAGCACACCATGCATATACTTACAGAAGATAATAGTCTAGTGAAATGCCTAAGAAACATTGCAAAACTGTCCTTAACTGCAATTTTTCACTTTGATAATTTTCTTAATCTTTGACAGAAACAAATTTTGAGTTTTTTCTCAAAAAGTGAATTTGCTGGCTCTGATGTGGAGATGGGTAAAGGTTTACAATAAACTTGCATGGTTTGAAGTCTGAGCTTTTCTATATTTATGAACTGTCACTTGTAGTACCAAATTTCTAACCTAACTTATTACATAGAGGTTTGAATGGGGGTCTCTAGGGGGGTCTATGCCTGACAACTTGGTAGAAATTTTTAAAGACTATATCTGTTTTTAAATAGCATTATTGTAAAATAAATTTTACGTTCCTAGACATGCTAATGAGCCATATATTTGGCATGATAATGAGCCTAAATATTTGGCAAAACATTCAAGTATTGTTCACTTCATTTTTTTTTGAAAAAAACGTAAGCAAAATGTGTTGTTTTTACCGAAAAACGATGCCCACAAAATACATCTTGTATTGCTCTAAAACGCTAAAAATGGCATTTTAGAGGTTCTGAAATTCAAAATTTCTCAGGGGAGAATGCCTCAGACCCCCCCCGGCGCGGAGTGCCTCCGACGTTTTATGACTGATGTTTGAAAAATCCTAGATCCGCCCCTGGAAATATTTACATACAAAAATTACGATATTCTTATTGCTTGTTGAAGAACGTATAAATCATGTTAACACCTTTGCATCTATCACATGATCAGTTGCAATATAAAACCAAATAGTGTTATGGTCTAAACATAAAAAGAACAGACATTTGCTTGGTATGTTGTTGACGAAAAATTTTGTGACAATGGCTCTTTTTCGATTGTGTTTAATAGTTATTTTCCTGGCGTTTATTGTCAAGAAAGAAGATCTCGTTGAGGGAAGGAGCATTGTGGGCGAATTGTCGAACGACGATAACTCTAACGAAATTTTAGAAAGCAAAAGAGATGGATTGGTGATTTTGAGTAAGGAAGACCTTGCAAGAATTCGGAAAGCGAAGTTAAAGAAAGCAAATGGTGCCCTGACGTATGCTCGGGGGAAAGAACGTGATTATTGGAACTAAACTTTCTACGATTATAAAGCTAAACAAACGACTATGCAGCTATAAATATGGATATAAAAATATTGTTGAAAAAAGTTCCTTAAACAACCGTCGTTGTAATTAATATGTAGAACATATTTGTAGTCATTTAAATAAAGTGGTGTCACAGTTGATTTAATGCCATTTTATTTGAATAAATTAAGATATACAACGACTCCATTTTCGATAAAGACAAACCATGCATTATGATTAAATATTAGACTGGAGATTTCCAGTTTGCTCATGAAGTTTTCAGACAATGCCTCGTCATTTAATGAGACTAATACGCATAACAACTTTGATTGTCAAAATTCTATTTAAGTTAATGTTGAAGAGCGTTTTTTCACTACGATATTTCACTGCATAAAAATATACTCAAAAACGTTTATGAGTGTGTTAAACTTTGCTTTTTGTAAAGTACAAGCTATTGAGTATTGAGTAAGATTAGTATCTGGGCTATGCTTTCTTTAGTACGAAAGTCACCCAAACAGGTGAATATTTTACTTTAATTTAAATCATTGGCACGTCACCTTTTTTGACATTTTTGCTTATATCACTGCTCCGTATAAGCATTTATTTGTCACCTGACATGTGCTCGTGAATGTATATTTCTATGTTCTAAGTTCTTTGACTTTGTGGATCAAAGTCGTTCACGCATATGCCATGTTTAATATAATATTTCAGCGTCAACGTTTGAAAATTAGAGCCCAAAAATATAAAGAAGGAAGCTTGAGACTACAATAGTAGTCGCAATAATTGTATATGATCTGTAACCAGGACAAGCAGACAATCGTAAGTAAAGCAAAATAAAACAGATTCCGAAAACGGACATCTCGTTTTCTTGATATCCAAGGTAATACAAGAGTTTGAAAACTAAAGATGGTGTAATATTTCGTCTTTATTCCAAAGACATCATCAGACTAATAGTTTACAATGCAGGCTGCGTAGTTTAAGTGCAACAGGGTTACTCATGTTAACAAGGTTACTCATGTCAAATAAAATGGGAGTTTAACATGTTTAAATTTTAACACATGTAGATTTTTGACAGAATCCTTTGCTTATTAAATTACAACTAAGTCACAAATGGTTTGACAGTTAATAAGTAAAATTCAATTTCCTTTGAAAGAGGAAGATTTTTTATGAGAAGAGTTTTTATGAATTTTTATAAATAAGAATTGTCTTTACATAAACATGACTCATGTTTGTGTACCTTCTAAAACCTTATATTGATGCATCACATGATTTGGCAGCATCTATAGCTATCAATATTTAGCTACGTACTTATGAATAATTTAACTCACCAAAACATTTATATAATGCTAGCGACAGTTTCAAATGATGATGACGACGATGATGATGACTTTGACGACGATGAGGTAAAAGATACTTTCTTCGAAGCAAATTTTCTAAATGATGATGACGACGATGATGATGACTTTGACTACGATGAGGAAAAAGATCCTTTCTTCAAAGAAAAGTTTCTAAATGATGACGACGACGATGATGATGACTTTGACGACGATGAGGAAGATCCTTTCTTCAAAGAAAAGTTTCTAAATGATGAATATGACATTCGAGATGATGTGCACGCAAAACTCAGAAGGTATATACTTCAAACTAAAATTCAGCTAAGTCTATGCTAATAGTTTCGTAATGGAAACATTGATAAAAGTTAACGCAATAACTTGATTTGAAGAGCCCTTAGAATGTACAAATGCCTGAAACTCATTCTTTCGTTATAATAACTAAATCTTTCTTCTATTGCAAACAGTTTGGAGAATTTCCTTGTTTTATGATCCATAACTTGGTCAAACAATTTCAATATTTCTTTTAGCATTCACTTCGTAATCGCTTTATTGCAAGAATTTTATTTACATTTAAACTTCATACAGTTTACCGTGGATACGAGGAGAGTATGGAACAATTGGTCCTAACGAGATAATACCCTACGTTCACGTTTGTGTCACAGTTGACTATGAAAAAGGAGGTTCTGATGAAGATGTTTTGAAGAATGAAATTGATCAAAAATTGGGAACTTGAACTTCGAAGTATGTCGAATTCCGTAAAAAATCATATGAGAAACCGAACCTTGAACTGTTATCGGATATTGCTGTAAAAAGAAGTAATGAGCTATCAATAAGAGGTACATTGACTATGTTCTGTTACAATAACGACAAGCACCACGCGTTGACCTGTTTTCATGTTGGTTACAACAAAGATGATATCGACCAATTTCCTGATATGCTTCATGAAGTAAATAATGACCCTAACGGAGTGGAGTTGTCGTTGAATTCAAATAAATACTTCTACACTCCACCTGAAAACCCTTCTGAAATTCCATTGGGCCATCGATGCAGACTTTATAGTGTAAAAGAAGATACTGATATCATGGCCATAGAAGTCGATGAGAATGTTGATGTAAATTGCAAACGACAGGGAATTAACCGCCCTCGCTGGAGTTCTTTGTGGAAGGAGCTTTGTTGTAATTTACCATTCTCTGGCTTTATTTAACTTTAAAACACAACTTAAAATACTACAAAACAATAATATGGCGGATTATATATAAGAATGAGTACCGCTGGTCTGAAGTACCGCAGATAGTGGCACAGGGAGACCAATACCAATAAAACAATAATACAAAATTCTCCCTCCCTTAAACAGAACTGATAATAACACTTATGAGTTCAAAGTTTAGAGCCTATTGGTCTTCAAAACCTTAACGGGTTGGTGGTTTTACGACACGCACTGAGCGCCTCAGAGGGCATGTTGCTGTCCCAATTCAGTTGAAATACTCTCCTTCTCAACTGCTTGATGCTCAGCCGGAACATGTGCCTGGTCCTTTCCCTCTGCAATAGGCGGCGCGGTGGCAGGGATGGTGTGATTGTGAGCTGGGGGCCATGGTGCCAGATCTCTCAGTGATACTGTTGATTCTCTGCCGTCCAAATATTTAATATGGGAATAAGTAGGGTTAGCTTCCTTCAACTCTACCTGGTCAACAAGTGGGTCATTCTTGCTTGTTCTCACATACCGGTGGAGCAGAACCGGTCCGGGGGACTGTAACCAGGTGGGAAGTGAAGTACCATGTGTCGAACGGCGTTGGAAGCCAAAAATCTCTCATGTGGAGTTGAGTTGGTGGCAGTGGAGGGGAGAGACCTTGCTGAATGAAGCGCGGCAGGGAGTACCATTTCCCATTTACTGTCCGGCAGGCTTGCTGACTTGAGAGATAAGCGAATAGCTTTCCACACTATACCGTTATAGCATTCTACTTGGCCATTGCCTATCGGGTGGTAGGGTGTAGTTCGGCTCGTGGCGATGCCTCTCTGAGAGAGGTATTCTTTAAGTTCCTGGGACATGAATGAGGCACCTCGGTCTGAATGGATGAAGCCCAGCGTCTCACACAGAGTGAATAACTGATCCAAGCATCTGATAACGGTTGATGAACTCATGTTTGGGCAGGCAAAGCAAAAGGGAAGCGTGAATACTCATCCACGACTGTTAGCATATAGGGATTATTACTAGTCGTAGGTAGTGGACCTTTAAAGTCCACGCTGAGTCGCTCCATAGGTCGGGTAGCCTTGATGAGGACTCCTTGCTGTTGTTTGTAAAATTGGGGCTTGAGCTCAGCACAGACCCTACAACTAGAACACACCCTCTTAACTTCTTCTGTAGAGTAAGGGAGGTTTTTCGACCTTATGAAATGTAACAATCGAGTGACACCTGGGTGGCATAGAGCAGGGTGTATCTCAGTAAGGCTAGCTGCAGGTATGGAAGCTGTGAAAGCCCGAGTAAAAGATTGGGGAGCAGCGTTATCCTTACCGGGCCGGTATTTTATGGTGTAGCTAAAAGAGGCTAGTTCTAGCCTCAAGTCCTGGATTTTATTGTTCTTTACTTTGGTGCGTCTTCGGTTGTCAAACATAAAGGCGACTGACTGCTGATCGGTTTTGAGTGTAAAATGTCTGCCTGCAAGAAAATGTTGCCACTTCCTGACAGCTTCAATTATGACCATTGCTTCCTTCTCTACCGCAGGATAGTGGAGCTCACTTCCTTGGAGGGTCTTGGACATAAACGCTACAGGTCTGCCTCCTTGATTTAGTGTAGCAGACAGGGCAGTTTCTGAAGCATCAGTCTCTACAACGAAGGGGAGGCTCTCGTCAATAGAGTGTAATGACGCTTTCTGCAGCTCCTCCTTCAGCATTGTGAATGCATTCTGGGCATCGCCATCAAGTGGAAATGAGGTTGTTTGTAGTAGCGGTTGTACTTTGTCATAATAGTTTGGTATCCATTTTGCGTAGTATGCAAACATACCGATAACTCTTTTCAAGGATTTGGAATTTTCGGTAGGAGGGAAGCTTTTAAGTGGACGAAGCCTTTCCTGGTCTGGGGCGATGACACCATTCCCTACACAGTAACCAAGTAGATTGATAGAAGACTTGGACTCTACTGTCTTGTTTTCATTCAGAGTGAGGTTTCGGCGCTTTACAGCCTCTCTGAATTTCCTCACATTTTCGTCATGCCCAAACTGATCGTAGCCTGCAACAGTTATATTATCGAGGTAAGCAAATGTATCTTTCAGGCCCTCCTCTTCTACGAACTTGTCCATCGCTCTTTGGAAAACTGCGACGCCGTTGATTACTCCAAAGGGGATGCGACAGAACTGGTAAAGCTTACCATTGGCCTCGAAACCGGTAAATTTTCGGTCGGCTTTCTTGATCGGTACCTGGTGATAGGCACTCCTTAAGTCGAACGTTGAGAAGACTCTATATGAAGCTAGGTTGTTGACCATGTTGTCGATACGGGGTAACGGGTATGCATCGAGTTCCGTGTAGAGGTTGACGGTTTGAGAATAATCAATGCAAAGCCGCTTCTTGTGTCGTTGTAGTGGGTCCTTTGATACGACGACTTGAGCCCTCCAGGGCGAGGTGCTAGGTTCGATTATGCCTTCAACGAGTAGGTTGTTAATTTCTTGTTTGATGAATTCCTGGTCCTCCCTGCTGAATTTCCGCGACTTGCTTGCGATAGGCTTACATTCGGGGAGGATGTTCGCGAAGAGAGATGGTTCCTCAATAGATGCTGCTGCAAGAGCACATACAGGTACCCCGTTGGGTACTTTAAGTTCGGGCTTTTCCCCACCGAACTCAATGACAACACTTTTATGTTTCCTTTGAAAGTCCTGGCCAAGAATGATATCACTACAGAGATCCTTCAGTACCCCTAGACGTACAGATGAATAACCCTGGTGGCCTAGTTGGATGTCAAAAAAGCAATGGCCAAGAACTTTGGCTTTAAGTGATGTGAGAGCCATAGACAAACTGTCATCTGACTTGAGTAATTTGAGTTTGAGCTGGATAGCTACCTTGTCGTTGATGTAGCTATCTGAACTCCCAGAATCAACAAGGGCAGTAAGAACAGTACTGTTGACACTGACTTTGGTGGATGCTTGCATAAGGCTCTTTGGAAAGGCGGCACTTATGGAGCAGAGTGAGGCAGATCTTATTGATGCTGTAGTCTTAGTCCCTTTTACAGCCTGAGACTGGCAAACTTTAGCGTAATGGCCAGTTTTACCACAATTGTTGCAGACACAACTGCGTGCAGGGCACTCCTTTCTATTGTGAATAGGGCCGCCACAGAAATAACACTTTCTTTGGGGTTTGACTGCTGCTGACACATGGTTATCACTTGGTAAAGGATCCTCACCACCACTTTCAGTAGAAATAGAAGCTGCCGAGTTTTCGGTTGGAGCATAGGCTTCAGAGTTTTTCTGGGCTAAGTCTAACGCGTTGGCCTGATCAAACGCCGTCTTCAAGTCGAGTTGCCTGTTCTCCAGAAGTCGTTGGCGGATTAGTGGTGATAGAAGACCATTAATAAATGAGTCACGGACTAATTCCTCCCTATACTGTTCTGCAGTCACACTTCTGACGTTACAATCCTTGCTTAACCTTTTAAGTTCCTGTAGGAACTCTGTAAGCGACTCACCAGGCTTTTGGCGCCTTGTAGCAAGTAGATGACGTGCAAATATTTCATTCGGAGGCTTGATATACAGATTATTTAGTGCTTCAATAGACGAGTCGAAGTCCTGACAATCTTCGATGTAATCGTAAACGTTGTGAGAGACATAATTGATGAGAGTACGGTGTTTGTTTGGGGCTTTATCGCCGCATTCTTGAATGAAATTGTTGAACGTTCGGAGCCAATGTTTCCACTCTTTCGCGGCTGACGGCGAATTTGGGTCCAAGTCGAGACGTTGCGGTTTCAATATCGTTTCCATATTGAAGAATTTAAATAAAGTTAAATAAATTGTTGTAATTTACCATTCTCTGGCTTTATTTAACTTTAAAACACAACTTAAAATACTACAAAACAATAATATGGCGGATTATATATAAGAATGAGTACCGCTGGTCTGAAGTACCGCAGATAGTGGTACAGGGAGACCAATACCAATAAAACAATAATACAACAAGCTTCACAAAAGAGTTAATAGTCGCGTGACTCCTAACCCTATAGTGATGAAATTTGTTGGTGAAAATAATAGAAAAGGAGAAATTTTTAGGACTAATTTCTGCTATTTTAATGAGGAAACAAACATTGACATTAAGAATGCTGTTCTAGTAAAGAGCAAGAAGCATTTTCTTAAAAATGGTGAATCGGGAGTGCTCGTGTTTTTCATAGATAAAAAAAACAAAAAACAAGCCTTTGGATATGGTGTTGCAAGATGGACGTTTGAAGAGGATGAAGAGGAGAAACCTGTTCCTGATCCCGAATATCCTTATTATTACATATGCTTTAAGCTACACGTAATTAGCTAAATTACGAGGGCTTTACGTAATTTATTTGGCGAAGGAAATTTTGAGAGATGTGGCTGTTTTGAACGATGTGCAAATGGAGACTACAACCCAAACGGTCTTCCTACAGTTTAGAAATAACTAACAAACAAACTAGCCTGAAATTTTTATTTGCATGATCTTGTTTTTAGTTTTTAGCCGTGGTAAATTTCCAATGGGTAAAGGCCACGATGATGAATAATATGTTGAAGACATTTTTTTGTTCACTGCAAATCTATCCAGTATATTTATTAAACTCCCATTTTTTGCAGTGCCGTAGCCAGACATGATTTGTCACCGAGGCAGAGATCACCCGAGTGTGCTCTTAACTCCTATCCCCCAAGAAAAATTTTGAAATTCTCATGGTCGCGGGAAAATGGTTTCGCCACAAAATGCTTTAAACGTTTATAAATATTTATACAATGTAAATTACCACAATTTTTTAACTGTCACTAAACTCCGTTTTATTCAAATACTTGGTTGACTAATTGAGCATCATGTTAAATTCATTTTGATATATTACTTGCAAAACTTGTTTGGGGGTATATTTCAAATTTCAGCAAACACACCACAGCGGAGAAAAAATGACAAATTTTGCTTACTGTGTTTGAAGGGCTTGTACAAACGGAGGAGACTTTCGGAAAAAACTTGAGAGCAGATTTGTGTAAGCCCGAGACCGAAGGGTTTCCATCTTTGCACTGTTTAAAATAAAAATAATTTAAAACTAGAGGGCACTCAGACTGCATACCTCCGCCAGGTTCATTATTTTAATTTCTGCAAACGTACCTTGCAGTCTAGTTGGTCAAATATGTAACATGGCGACGAACTCGCTCACGAAATCCATTTTGTTTAAGTAGGTATGTAAATGTTTTTCGGATAAACACAGATAGATTTAAATCACAGGTTTGATAAACTAGACAACGGTGTACTCAGAATAAGTAAACGTTTTGAGATTGCTTCCTTTTTTGCGTAGCAATATATTTATTGTTGTAAGATTACATTTATTGTATTGATCTACTTACGCATTCAGTAAGTTTGCAATAAGCAATAAAAATTTTTCTTCATTTCTTCGTCAATTTTAATCCAAATTCAACCAAACTTTTATCAGTTCTTCCTTCACCGGTGTTTCGTTAGTTATCGAGCGCACAGACAATCACAAACACATACACATACAAGTGAAAGCATAACCTTCCTGTTGGAGGTAACAACTTTTTCTTTCAAATTATGTTCATGATTGATTTGCAATTATTCTCTTTTATTTAACTAAAGGCCCATTCTCACAATCCAATTTTGTCGGATCCATCCTAAAAAACGGATCAAAATGGACCAATAGTTTAGATAAATAGGGGGAGAGGGGTTTGGAGGAATAGAAAGAAAGAGGCTTAGGGAACAGGAAGAAAAGTGATTGGTTGATAGGAAGAGTGCATTTAGAGGCATAAGAAAAGATGTTGGTGTCATAGGGAAAGAGGGTTAAGGTTTTAAAAAGTGGCTGGTTCCATGGGTAAAAGAGTAAGAGGAATACTTAATTAAGATCGAAATAATTTGAGAAACAAAACAGAGCACTAGTTTCAATAAATTTCCTTACTTCGACGGCAGTTTTCTGTGATCAGTACAATCATCAAATTGCATGTGATAATCAACTTCTTGACCAATCCAAGGTACCCCTTTCCTCAGCAACACAATGTCTGAATTACCTCATCCATTGTTTGAAACGCCAACGTTCAGATGGAGGGAGAGATCAAGTTGTTCTTCTTGGAGGTTATGATGTAAAAGAAATATTGAACAGTGCTCTCATGTATGACAGCAAAACAGGAAAGAGCAAAGTCTTACCATCCATGTTGCAAAAGAGATGGGGATGTTATGCAGTTATAAAAGATGATACAATTGTTGTCATGGGAGGTGTAAATTATAAAGATGAATCTCTTAAATCAATGGAGTGTTTTAGAATTGGATGGAGTTCTTCATGGATATATCTTCCTTCAATGAATGAACCACGAGAAGGAGCCTTTGCTGAAGTTTTACAATTTGAAAAAAGTATATCTGAGCAGGTGTTTTCACTTAAAATTTTGTATTTTCATTCAATAAAGCCATATTTCCCCTTTTTGCGAAAATTTCGTGTCAAGAAATGAGGAAATTTCTTCCAAATTTCTTTCTCTGTTTTTAATGATTCAAGGTAAAAATAGATCATCAATAGTAAAAGTAAGCAATATTTCTGAATATTAAAATAAAGAACAAGTGCTCTGCCTGTGCTCTAAGGCACGAATCAAATGAGCAAGTCTAATTATAAAATAAACACAATGAAACGCGTGCGCTGATTGGTCTAGAGATGTGTTCGCATTATTCTGTGTAAAACACATCTGAGCTCAACCAATCAAATCAATCAAATCAATCAATCATTCAAAGGGAATTTGCAAATCGATTATGAATAAATTTTAAAGGAAAAATTAAAATGTTTGTCTTTTTCGTATTATTGTTATTTTGTAAAAGAAATAAAAAATGTTTTTCCTGCTCTCACTGGCTTATGAAAACCTTGGAGACGTTTGTGAGAACTTCCGAGCAGGCACAACCCTTGACCTTCGGTCTTGGGATTGCACTGATCTGCTCTTGAGTTCTCCAAAAGGTCTCCTCGGTTTGCATAAGCCTGTACAAACACAGTAAACATCTTTTATTTCTTAAAAAGAGTACAATATAAGTGCCATAATTTGAGCACAAACATAAACGTACGTATGTTTTATAGACTAGTATTGTGTAGAAATAAGACCTAGGGACTAACAAAATAATTTTAGTTATTCATTATCAACAATCGCTGATCATGGTTGAAAAGATTCGACAATTAAAAAATTTAGATTAATTCGGAAGTTGAATGAACAGAAAAATAAAGTTGAATGAAAGAGGAAAAAACATTCAAACTTTGAAATATGTACGCGCGAGTGAAAAAAAATACGTGTCCGAATTGCTTTTTGGCTTTATCGTGTTCTTGTGCAAGCTATTTAAAAAGTGTTTCTCGGTTACACAATTCTCGCGCTATTTTACAGTGTGACATGAACTATCAGAAGTCACATTTCCTATTCCATCAAAGGTTTTCTCAGATCTTGAGCGCTAAAAACTTTAATGACGTTTTCATAACAGTTCAGTTTTTTAATACAATCTGTGTACACTGCCTACATTATAAACTAAGTAACGTGTGTTGGTGGTGATGAATTAATAACTGATGAAAAAATGTCCTGACACCGTTTACGCGAAACATAAAAATATATGAATTTTATTGGTTTAATCTAAGCTAACAATGTCTACAGGAAATTACACGAGTATAAATTTAGAGAGAACTAAGTTTACCATGAGACTGCGCAGAATCATTTTCTTATTCTTGAATTCCAGAAATATTCCTGATCAGTCTAGAATTTTCTTCTGACTTTTTCAACACTTTAGCATTCTGAATTTGTAATTCTTTAACCATTTTAATCAACGTCACTAGATCTTCATTTTTTTCGACTTGCTCCGAGCTCACGTCTTCTTTATCGGAGGAAAAATCATAAAATATAATTCCATCGACAAAATTATAAAATCTACGCTTTTGGTTGGGCCATTCCACCAAAGGATGTATAAGTGCCTTTTCTTGTTTCGTGAAATAAGAAAACATGAACTTCTTTCTTTCTAGGTTGATGATCATGTTCGCCTATAAATTGGTTAATAAGACGAAAATAAAGAATTCATTTAAACGTTAAAAGGAATTTATAACTTTTAATCTATTTCGTTATTTTATAGTGTAAAGTCTAACTTTATCTCAGATTATATTAAAAAATGATGCTTCACTAATTCGATCGTTTTGCCATTTTTCTTACCGTATGAATATGTTTCCGCAATTTGGCGTCCTTTCTAATCTTAGATGCATCCTCAATGGCAAGGGCGAGAATGAGGTTCATAATAACGACCGGCATGATGACGACGAAAACGACAAAAAGAACTATCTGTTGTGGGTAAAACATGTCGTAATAATGGTGACGAAGAAATGTCTCTTTAAAATCAATTTCTCCGATCGTCATGATCGCTGTAGTTAACATCGAGGTTTGAAAATTCCCAAATCCCTCTCTGTCATTCAGTATCACTGTAAAGGCTGCTGCAAACGCGACGAAGAAAAATAATAACAGACTCAAAACCTAAACAAAAATATGAGGAATTATTTTAAGGCCCGCTCACACGATCCGATTTGTCGGATATTGATATCCGATTGTTTCGGTTCCGATATTGGTTGCTATTTAAGAAGGTCGGATAATTTTGTTCATATTTATATTCGTTTAAATATTTATAGTCTTGGTAGCAGACATTTGTGATATCCAGTACATTTATCGATCTATTTTTCGTATTTTTGTTCTTGTTTCCAAGCCTTTTTCAAGTCTAAAGTTTTGCGCTAAGTAAAATTTGGAAAGTATGGAGAGTGAAAGGTCCGGGACTAGTCGGCTTTCTTTGATCTTGTTGGATGAAAATAGAAGAAGTTCTATTTCCATCGATTTTCAGACGGACGGAACCGACTGTCGGAGGCTCGCTTTATATGTGTTCTCACAATCCGTTTTTTAAGATCCGATAAAATCGGGTGAACGGGCCTTTAGTCTGAGAAAACTTTGATTAAATATTCAATTAAATTGAGCATCTTAGATATTATTTCTTAGAATGTCCTTGAACATTGGCTTGTTTCATGTTCGAAAGATGTCTTTAACATGAGTTAAATGATAGACACCAGGGCCGGATCGGTTGCACAAAGCCTGGATAGCGCTATACATTGGATAGCAAAAGTCTTCAAACTTGTAAAAAAAAGGTGTTTATATTTTTCTTACGACAAAGAAATTTTGTAATCTTCGAAACAATATTTTTTTTCAGTGATTGTTCAGTTTGAATATTATACTTTTTACTTTTTAAAAGGTTTTATAATATATTAATCCTAACACGATTTTAATATGCACACGAAAAACATGTTACTTGGACGAGATTTGAACTCGGTTTTGAACTCGGGAAAAGGTTTTATAAAAGTTTAAAAAAACGTGATATCCAATGGATAACGATATCCAGGCTTTGTGCAACCGGCTCCTGATGGATAAACGACATTATTGATTATGGAAAAACGCTAATGTTAATGACGGTACACAATGGTATGGAGTGATCACGTTTTTAATTCTTTGCGGATGTTATTTTGCACAGCCAACGTCTGCCATACATGTATGTTAGTTTCTTTTTGCAAAATTATTTACCATGTGGACGAACCTTAATTAATGTGACGAAAATTTTCTTCAACATTTGTATAACAATACCGTAGTAGGCAAATCTTCTGAAATACATAATAAGATTCATCCAAGAACAGAACAACGCCAGAGAACAGGATTTCCATTGTAAACTTGTCTTTACTGAGATATTGTCGTTACTCGGTAGAGCAAAGATGAATGTTGATATGTAGAGAGTCCATTCCAAATAGTTGACTTTGTCGCGTAAATAACTCTTCCCGTTAAGCACCAACTAAACAACAAGAACACGATTTCAATATGTAGCCAAATTTTTGGCACGTATGCAACTACGATACTTTCTTTCTAATATATCAATGTGTTATGATGTAAATGAAATGAAATGATATAATAAATTTGAAACAGAAAAAAACATAGTGTTAGAAAAAAAATACACACCTGAAAAATTTCTTTCAACGTCTGAAAGCCGGCAGAAACAAGACAGATACTCATCGCTATCATAACAATTATTGATGCGTCTGGTAATTCTTTAGGATGTATAAAATTGACACAATTTCTTAAACAACTGAAAATTTTGTAAAATCACATATATGTTCAAAACTTCGACTAATAATTTATAATACTTATATTTTTTGTCGCAAAGCCGGTTAACTAAATTGTGTTCTTGGTTTTAACTCTTGAAATCTACCCAATCGTTTAATATGCCAGACGAAAGCAGTTTCTTAGTATTAAAGAGGTACATCACATTTTGGCTTATACATAGCCAATATAAGGACCATTTACATGATCTTGGCTAACCGAGATACAGTGAAGCGTGAAATGATTTTTGAGGCATTAAAAGGAGGTAAAACTTCAAGCTAAAAAATTACAATTTTTTTTAAGCACCACATTCCTGTTGGAATTCTCAAATTAGGCCAAACTGGTTGTGTTCATTTTAAATGTTTTGGGTAGTTAATAAATCAGAGTATTTTGAAAATGCAAAAGTAGATTTATCTGAGGATAAGTATTGAATCGTTTCCATTTGTCAGAATAATTCAACGTTTGGCTGAATCCTGACTACCCGGGATCATGTAAATAATCAGCCTTAAGTAAGTCTTTCTGACCTTGATTATTAATTGACTCTTCGTATGAAGGAATTTTGAACGCATAAACGTTTAGAGAAACCAGAAATACGACATAAATTAAAAATCCAACCAAATAAACTTTGAATCCAAATGCCTTCCATTTTTCTTTCAGATATTTACAGCAGACAGGATGCTGTAAACATTTGGAGCTGCCACTTTTCACCATCGCTTCAATGGCAGTCAGCGGCTCCACATTTGCTATCAGAGAAAAACAAAAAATGCCCAAATGATTTTGCAATGTCCATGATGTACAATAAATTATGACATATTTGCTGTATCATACCTGTAGCGTTATTATTCTGTAAACACATAAAGTCGTATTCAATTTTGTAATCCTTACTCTATGAATCACCTATACGTGTCTCGCTGTTAACGAGAGCTTGATATGCCACTTCGGACATACCTTGGGAAATCAACGTTTTCATCGTTGCTTCAGGACCATCCTTTGTTGTTTCCATTATCTAAAGAAGAAACACAGTTTCCAACAAATTCTTATTTAAATGAAGATATGATCTTTGCACTTTGCTGGACAATTTAAGCAATCGTCTCAGGACCTGAAAAAATCAGGTGACTCAACGGGATTCGAACCCATGACCTCTGCGGTGCCGGTGCAGTGCTCTGACCAACTGAGCTATGAAGTGACACAGTGGTGAGCAGGTAAATATTGTTGGGCTCATGTTTTCTCGTGAAAGGAATGTCGTACGAATGTTTTATGCAGTGCGGTGTTTGAAATTAAATGAAGATATGATCTTCGCACTTTGCTGGACAATTTAAGCAATCGTCTCAGAACCTAAAAAAATCAGGTGACTCAACGGGATTCGAACCCATGATTTTTTCAGATGCATTTAACGACTTTAACCAATATTTTTATGGTTACTGTAACCAATCATATGGCTATTTTAACAAATCATTTTTTACGGTGTAAGGAAGAAAGTTTTAACCGTTTCTGAAAAGTGCTTTTTAATCGACAGTTCAATATGAAAAAAAATGAAAACGTCTTTCCATCTTTCATGGCACATCATCACCATTGCTGTATCTTTATTTCTATTACTAATCATTTCGTCAAAATAAGAAACTTTATCTGTGGTAATGGCTGCTTTATTATCGAGTAAAAATTTCACTACATCTGTCTTGCCATTCAAACAAGCTTTAAACTAGCAATTCAAACTAGCAATTCAGCCGCAAGGCTGCAATTAATATTTTAATAAACTACCTACCTACCTACCAAATAGTGGTGTCTCTCCATCTTTGTCTTTGTGGTTGATCAAGGAAGGTTTGTGCTTCAGCAGCAATTTAACAGTTTCGAGATGTCCATGACACGCTGCAATATGAAGTGGAGTGGGATAGTGGATGTCGTTATATAAAAAGAACCAAAAAAATATTGGCTTAAATTAACGTCTCAACTCCATCAACGCTGCGGCCTGCGTTAATTTGTGTTCTCACGTGGATTTAGCTTCTTAGAAACACAACAGATAGAAAATTTACCTCGTCATTAATATTTCGTATTCCAGAAGATATTTAACGACCCGTGAGCTACTATAGTATGCAGCTGTATGAAGCGGAGTTTGTTTGGTAGCATTAGCCATGGAAATTAACTTTCTACAATTGTCAAGTAACAATTTAATGACACCAAGATTCTGAGAAATAACAGCGCAATGTAATGGGGAACTTTGGTTTTCTGAGAGGACGTTCAGCTTTGCACGGATGTCAATCAGAATTTTCACACTCTAAAAAAACGTTGTTTACTTAAAACTAACGTTGCTAACAAGTTAACTCCAAAGGAAACGAGCACAAATACCTCGACTCGCCCTTCTTCAGCTGCGGCATGTATTGGAGCATAACCATCGTCTGTTCTTTTTTCATTTATCAACGGAAGAATGTCACTTTCCTAAGAAGTAATTAAAATTCCAGCTTCTCCATTTACCCCCAACATAAAATCCGAAAAAATTATACCTTAAGCAAAATCTTCAGTAGTTCAGGATGAGCTACTGCATAATGAAGAGCTGTGCCATTTTTATCTCTTTTAACGAAACGATCTTCTTTTAGCAATTCTTTCACGTCTTCAACATGACCACCTTCTACTGCAAGGAGCAAGGCACGATGAGAGAGACCTGCATAACGATCGCGCGTATACGTCGACGCTTACCCGCTGTACGGCATTTTATCATTAGAGTGCAATAAGGGTTCTTCTATTATCGCGGCATGCTGTACAGGTAAAGCTTCCTTCGGTTCTTCTATAATCGCGGCATGCTGTACAAGTGAATCTCCCATCGGTTCTTCTCTTATCTTGTTTTGCTGTTTAAGTAAATCTCCCATCGTATCAATAAACCTTGACAATATCTTCTCCATGCCATTTTTACGCACAGCGTCAACCAAATAACTACCACCACTATTCATTTCTTCTTGCAAACAGGAACGTATCATATGTTCATCCTGTTGTAGACAAACTTTTACAGTACTTTCATCTCCGCTGTCCACAGCTGCATGAAGTATATTTTGGTGATGTTTCCCGCCATGTTTCTTGCTGAACAATAACTTTTTCACTCTATTTTTTTCTATTGAAAGACAATTTATAACATTAAAGAAAATAAACAGCAAACAGTCTTTACACTTCCTAAAATATAAACTAAGATACCGCGTGTTCGCGTATAAGGGGATGAATGAATAACAGAATGTGAATAGTAATAACAGTCTTTATCCTACACCTAAATTAATAGGAAGCCAATAATATAAGAAACTGGTTGTATTGATAGCCCGAAAAACTTAGGAATTAAGAGATCATGTCAGAAAAGATGAACAACATATGGAACAGAGCAAGAATATTGAAATAAAAAACATAAATTGCAAAAACCGTGTAAAAAGGAGAGCATGTGCTCTTTAAGATAGAGAGAAGAAACACAAAGAATCTGAGTGTTGTAAATTTTTAAAGAGTGGAGCAAGAATCAATATGGCTTGTGCGAAAAGTATATAAATTTGTCTTAATTAAAAAACCAGGAAAGGTTTGGAAACACAGGCGGCATGAACAACTTAGCATACACAAAGAGGTAGCAAAGACAATGCATTAGCAAAATGATAAAATGCGTCATAAGAAAAAACAGCTGTTCAAGTTGTTAATTTATATTATACTTTATATTGCCTTTCATTATTAATAAATAGTCGATCTTATAATGCTCAAAAAGGTGTGGTCTATCTTATTGTAGCGTTGTTAACTCCAACGAAAAATATTTTCGACTTAATTTCATCTCTTATTTTTCACCTCCATATTCATATAAAAATATATTGATATGTAATACATTAAAAGATTCGTCATTAGCCTTATAAGATTATAAAAATTATATATTCACTCAATATAGAATCTCCTAAAATGCCAACAAAGACCTAAGCAGGAAAAAAGTAAACCAAGAATACAAACAACTCACAGTGTTGATTGCATTTCAGAAATAGATAAATGGCATTTATAAACCCGGAGAGCATTGAAGAGTTTTTCGATATTGGCCCTAAAATAGCTCTTTTAGAGGTTGAAAGAGCACTTAAAGCATTTTTTGACCTTAAAAGAACTTGAAAAGCATGTTTGCACCTTGAGGCTTTGAAACTCGTGTAAAAACAGAAAAGTTTTCCGTCCTTGCTAATAACTGATAAGCTGGTGCAAACACGGTATTCACGTTTGTGCAAAGAAGTTCCAAAAATGGTGACGTTGCGAAGTTGTTTGACTGTTTTCTTTCTTGTTATCATCGTCAAGAAAGAATGTTTGGCTGAACGTAGAAAGATCGGGAATGATTTTTTCGATGACGATAACGCTCACGTATTTTTGAAAAGACAAAGTCGCATAAAATATATACCAAGCCAAGGAGATAAAAAAATATTTGGAAAAATTCAGAAACAAGAGAATAAGGAAAGAAAAGATCCGATGAACGGAAGAAAAAAGAGACGAAATGACTGGAGTTAAATATTAGACAATTCAAACGTAAAAGCAGTAGATGTTTAAATGGAGGCAAAAAAAAGGAAAATAGGAAATTCTCGCGACAAACATTTCCTTATTATGATACATGTATATAGAGTAGAATTTTCGCCATATGATTAAAGTATTCTCGCAGTTAATTCATTTTTTTTTTGTTTCTATGAAAAAATTCCATGAAAATTTTGATAAAGACCAAAAGAAAACATAATGTTATGGTCTTAATATTGGCAATATACATACTAAACACAGAATTTGAAGTTTATTCAAATAATCCCTTACCCACTGAAAAGAAATATACTGGGAAAATGGCGTCAGTCTAAATTTGACCCGAGTAAATTGTCAAACGACTGAATCGAGATACAATATTAAAATGAGAACTAAAACTAAATTTTAAAAAATTTCTTTTTGTCGAGTGTTACATGTTTTCCTTCTTGTGGCTTGCTACATAGCAAATTATAAGTCTGCGTCTAGCTGACTTTACCCTTGTTATGGCATAGCAACTTTTGTGTTAGCAAATAACTATCATATTAATATAGGCATGATATACTAATATATTTGCCTTTTGAAATCCATTGCTATCTGCAGAATATAACATGCAAACATGAATACGTTTCAGCCTTAGAGACAACTGATTTCAATAAAAGAAATAATAAACTCGAACATGCATTTATGTATATGTCTCGCTCAAATATCAATCATTCAAAGTCCCTGAGTTGTCCGTGAGACAGCGATACCCCACACAGTAGAGCTCGACAACTTTGGTCATACTAAAAAAAGTAATTGATTTAATTTTGTTTATTTTCAATTCAGTAGCTTTGAATGATATCGCCTCTTATCTGTTACCAGTCTTTCTATTAGCATGTGTGATCTTCTGTTGGAACAGAAAAACGTGATATCTATTAGAGCAAAATATATTTAAACTAGGGAAACAGAAAACATGAGTTGGATGAGTAATAGACAACTTAAACAACCTAGCAAGCGGAAACTTGAATATAGAAAAAAATTATCTAGTGTGGAAAGGAAACAATTGATTTAAAGGGAAATGATGGCAAAAATACACCACCAACATATATTTTCATGATGGGAAACAGGACTTATACGGAAGGTTTTAAGATTTGTCCGTGTTCCATGTTCTTCAGCGTATGATCACGCACAATAGTTCGTCTCGTAATATAGTTGCTTAACTGTTTGTTCTTTTTAATTGCTTTTTCCCTTTGACTACATTATGTTGGAGTGAGGTTTGGTCATTGATAAGAAAAATGAGAACACTTTTAAAATTTGGAATTCAATTAATCATAAACGTTCTTGTGGAATGCTAAATTCTAAATGTGCTTCCAATTAATAAAACCACACTCTAAAATCTGTCGGTGTCTGAGACCCTGATGAGACCGTGATGTCGGTGTCTGATGGCTTACTGAGACCCTTATAGGAAATAGCATAATTTTATTAAGCAACTGAAAGTAAAATATTGGGTTTTATAGACGTTGCAATATCTGCCCTAAAACCATCAAAAATGTTCTGAGGGTTTTTATAAGAGTCATTAAAGCATGTTTGCACCTTTGCATCTCCACATGTTTTACTCAAGTATAAAAGCAAGAAAATGTCAACAACGCCTGAGTAAGTGGGATAGATGCTGTTGTTTGCAAAAACATTGTGTAAATGGATGCATTGCGACTATGTTTAACTGTGATTTTCCTGACTCTATGGTCAAAAGATTGTCTGTGTGTGCAAAAAAAGATCTGAGATGAATTGTTTGACGACGACAATAACGCTTGCGTGTTTTTGAAAAGCAAAAGAAAATCTGAATATCAAAATACATAGTACGTATCAATGAAATTCTTCTTCCTATATATATATACTATACAATCAGACGCCGAATCCAAGAATCAAGATCACACAAATAACTCCATTCTAACACAAACGAATTTGTCACAAGCATCTCGAGGAAACCACAACCGAACTGCAAACTAAAATTCTAAACAAAGGATTAAATTGCAACTTTAATAACAAGAACAAACTTGACTACGTTGCCGACCTGGAATCAGCTTTAAAGTACACCAACTTAACAGACCAAACAAAAGAAACATTCGTCAGAAAATCACCAATAACCCTTGCCACCAACCACCAGTCACCTTGGGCGACTCTAGGATTTTTTTTCTTAGTCAAAATGGCCGGAGGCGTTAGCTGCCTAGAGGGCACCCGGAGTCATGCACCCTCCTGAAAAGGAGTTTTTCAAGATAATAGCTTAAGACTAATGGAACTTAAGCCGTTTCGCTCAATATCAGAGCTCATCAGCACGCCTAGGATACAGTTGATAAATGAAATTTTTATTCACAGTAGCATTTGACATGGACGTCCAGGACTTAGCAAGCCCAACCTTAAAAAAATTCTTTATGATTAGCCACGATAATTAGCAGTTGTGAGCATGATGATTATTACTGAATACACACCACCAAAACATAAAACATACCTTAAGTCCATGACAAACGCGGAATGTAGTACACAGATCTTGCATCAATAGATGAAGCAATCTACATCTTTAAGCAAAACAAAGTATAGATTTTCACTCAGTACAATACTTCATATAAAATAAACTTCAAGTAAAACAGAGAACGCTTATGCTGGTTAAAGCATTTGACGTAGTAATTTCTTTTCAAGCAAGATGTATATTGTTAGAAGTGAGAACTGTCGATATAACTTAATGTTTTATGAAATAGAATAAAATGGAGTGAAGTAAAAAAGGTTTTCTCTTTTAGCTAAAAGCCAACTTAATCTTCCTCTTTTCCTTTGTAAACAAGTCAATAACTTTTTGAATATCCAACTCTATGTCATTGTGAATGTAAAGCAACGCTAAACCATTTAAACGAGTCTCGACCATCGTACTTCGACTATACTCTTTAAGTCTCCAGACGACATCGTTGCTATTTTTAAAAAAGACAAAACTGAACAAATACTACACGCCAAAAACAATACCACAAATAACATAACCTTCACTATAGACGAAGAGCACGACAAACAGCTTACTTTCTCCAACATCCTACTGACAAGAACAGATGACGGTACATTAAACACACAAGTATACTGCAAAACCACCCACACAGACCAAATACTCGATTTCAACAGCAATCACCCAACACAACACAAAATAAGCTGGATTCGAACACTTTTTAACAGGATAAACACTCATTGTAACACCGAAGAAGCCAAGAAAACAGAACGCAACTACTTATACTCCACATTTATTAAAAACATTTACCCTAGAAACTTCATAAACAAAACTATATACAAAATACAAAACAAAACACAAACTGACAAAAGCAACAAGCAACCGGACGACACAGTAAAAATCGTCACATTACCATACATAAACGGAACATCAGAAATGACTGCCAGACTTCTTCGACCATTTAATATTAACATCGCCCACAAACCTACATAAAACTCAAATCATGTTTCACCAAACATAAAGACAAAACAACAATTCATGATACAACTGGCGCGATCTACATGATACCATGTAAAGACTGTTCAAAGCAATACATAGGACAAACATCAAAGAAAATCGAAACAAGACTCACAGAACACAAAAACGCCATAAAACAACGAGATCTAAACTCACTACCGGCAAAACATACCCACGAAATAACCACACATTCGACTGAACAGAAACTAAAGAACTAGCACGCGCACAGACTAAACACGCAAGCAAAGTTAAAGAAGCTTGGTACTGCAAAGACAACGACACGATAAACAGACACATTGACATACAATTTTATATTCACAACTAAAGAAAAAGGACAAAAAAACTACAAATAACACCAAAAATACAACATTACACTCTAATAATATAAACACCAAAGATATTCACAATACATCAAAACCATGACAACGCAATCCACACTATTCAATCACATTAATTCACCGTCTAATCCAATTAGATGCTCCAAACGTCTACAAATTAAAAACAATTGTAAATAACTTCCTATTTCATTCTGATGAAGGCTCGAAGCACCGAATCGAAAACTCATTAAAATTATTTATAAAAATCCGGAAAAACTTTTATTTTTAAATAATATATTTTATTGTATATGAGCTATATATAAACAATAATCGTGTTGTGTTTTTAAAGAATCGTTTATATGAAGAAGGTTTTTGCGAACACATATGGCTAGCATGATTTTTAAAGCATGAATAAAGATGAGATGAAAAATAAAAGATGAAAACGTTGCTAAACGTCGAATACTTAGAGACGGTTTTTAAAAGTATAATCAATTTTACAGGTTAGAAGTATACCTTCAAGATAGATAGAATGAAAAACGCCATAGAAATAAAAGATGCTATTCAAATGACCTAAACGTGTTTGTCGATTTGAGTGACCAGATGTATGAGTGAATTATATTGAATACGACTAAGCTTTATTAGCTCGTTAAATAAAAAGCAACCAATGTGTTTATGCAAATTCTATAAGCATCATTCAGTTAGCTATAATGAAAATTATAAACACAGCACAGAACTGTTAAGCATAGATTGTTAAGCAATTTCTTTTGAAATTTACAGAGCAGAGGGTCTTAAAGTTTGTTCTTGTTTATAAAAACGAGAAATGGTTATTTTTATGATATCAATATTTGCAAATTCCTTTATCCTTACAACTACATACAATTAATTGCAGGAAGTAAAATGAATACCTCGGAGCATGCAGGAATACTGAAAAGCGTAAAAAAACACACAAATAATTTACATCATTACAAAATGTGAAAGAATAAAGATAATTATTCTTAACTCTGGAAATGAGATCATAAAATGGATAGCAGCATCAAAATTGGAAAGTGGAGAGATGTGTATTTAAGAAGTTTTGTTTTCAAGAGTTTGAAATATTTACATACAAAAATTACGATATTCTTACTGCTTGTTGAAGAACGTATAAATCATGTTAACACCTTTGCATCTATCACATGATCAGTTGCAATATAAAACCAAATAGTGTTATGGTCTAAACATAAAAAGAACAGACATTTGCTTGGTATGTTGTTGACGAAAAATTTTGTGACAATTTGCTCTTTTTCGATTGTGTTTAATAGTTATTTTCCTGGCGTTTATTGTCAAGAAAGAAGATCTCGTTGAGGGAAGGAGCATTGTGGGCGAATTGTCGAACGACGATAACTCTAACGAAATTTTAGAAAGCAAAAGAGATGGATTTGTGATTTTGAGTAAGGAAGACCATGCAAGAATTCGGAAAGCGAAGTTAAAGAAAGGAAATGGTGCCCTGATGTATGCTCGGGGGAAAGAACGTGATTATTGGAACTAAACTTTATACGATTATTAAACTAAACAAACGACTATGCAGCTATTAATATGGATATAAAAATATTGTTGAAAAAAGTTCCTTAAACAACCGTCGTTGTAATTAATATGTAGAACATATTTGTAGTCGTTTAAATAAAGTGGTGTCACAGTTGATTTAATGCCATTTTATTTGAATAATTTAAGATATACCACGAATCCATTTTCGATAAAGACAAACCATGCATTATGATTAAATATTAGACTGGAGATTTCCAGTTTGTTCATGAAGTTTTCAGACAATGCCTCATCATTTAATGAGACTATTACGCATAACAACTTTGATTGTCAAAATTCTACTTAAGTTAATGTTGAAGAGCGTTTTCTCTACGATATTTCACTGCATAAAAATATACTCAAAAATGTTTATGAGTATGTTAAACTTTGCTTTTTGTAACGTAATAGCTATTGAGTATTGATATGGTTAGTATCTGGGCTATGCTTTCTTTAGTACGGACGTCACCAAAACAGGTGAATATTTTACTTTAATTTAAATCACTGGCACGTCACCTTTTCTGACATTTTTTCCTATATCACTGCTCCGTATAAGCAATTATCTGTCACCTGACATGTGTTCGTGAATGTATATTTCTATGTTCTAAGTTCTTTGACTTTGTGGATCAAAGTCGTTCACGCATATGCCATGTTTAATATAATATTTCAGCGTCAACGTTTGAAAATTAGAGCCCAAAAATATAAAGAAGGAAGCTTGAGACTACAATAGTAGTCGCAATAATTGTATATGATCTGTAACCAGGACAAGCAGACAATCGTAAGTAAAGCAAAATAAAACAAATTCCGAAAACGGACATCTCGTTTTCTTGATATCCAAGGTAATACAAGAGTTTTAAAACTAAAGATGGTGTAATACTTCGTCTTTATTCCAAAGACATCATCAGACTAATAGTTTACAATGCAGGCTGCGTAGTTTAAGTGCAACAGGGTTACTCATGTTAACAAGGTTACTCATGTCAAAAAAAATGGGAGTTTAACATGTTTAAATTTTAACACATGTAAATTTTTGATAGAATCCTTTGCTTATTAAATTACAACCAAGTCACAAATGGTTTGACAGTTAATAAGTAAAATTCAATTTCCTTTGAAAGAGGAAGATTTTTTATGAGAAGAGTTTTTATGAATTTTTATAAATAAGAATTGTGTACCTTCTAAAACCTTGTATTGATGCATCACATGATTTGGCAGCATCTATAGCTGTCAATATTTAGCTACGTACTTATGAATAATTTAACTCACCAAAACATTTATATAATGCTAGCGACAGTTTCAAATGATGATGACGACGATGATGATGACTTTGACTACGATGATGTAAAAGATACTTTCTTCGAAGCAAAGTTTCTAAATGATGATGACGACGATGATGATGACTTTGACTACGATGAGGAAGAAGTCCTTTCTTCAAAGAAAAGTTTCTAAATGATGATGACGATGGCGATGATGACTTTGACTACGATGAGGAAAAAGATGCTTTCTTCAAAGAAAAGTTTCTAAATGGTGATGACGACGAGAATGATGACTTTGACGACGATGAGGAAGAAGATACTTTCTTTAAAGCAAAGTTTCTAAATGATGATGACGACGATGATGATGACTTTGACGACGATGAGGAAGATCCTTTCTTCAAAGAAAAGTTTCTAAATGATGAATATGACATTCGAGATGATGTGCACGCAAAACTCATAAGGTATACACTTCAAACTAAAATTCAGCTAAGTCTATGCTAATAGTTTCGTATTGGAAACATTGATAAAAATTAACGCAATAACTTGATTTGAAGAGCCCTTAGAATGTACAAATGCCTGAAACTCATTCTTTCGTTATAATAACTAAATCTTTCTTCTATTGCAAACAGTTTGGAGAATTTCCTTCCCTCCACTTGATATTTCCTTGTTTTATGATCCATAACTTGGTCAAACAATTTCAATATTTCCTTTAGCATTCACTTCGTAATCGCTTTATTGCAAGAATTTTATTTACATTTAAACTTCATACAGTTTACCGTGGATGCGAGGAGAGTATGGAACAATTGGTCCTAACGAGATAATACCGTATGTTCACGTTTTTGTCACAGTTGACTATGAAAAAGGAGGTTCTGATGAAGTTGTTTTGAAGAATTAAATTGATCAAAAATTGGAAACTGGAACTTCGAAGTATTTTGAATTCCGTAAAAAATCATATGAGAAACCGAAGCTTGAACTGTTATCGGATATTGCTGTAAAAAGAAGTAATGAGCTACCAATAAGAGGTACATTGACAATGTTCTGTTACCATAACGACAAGCATTACGCGTTGACGTGTTTTCATGTTGGTTACAACAAAGATGATATCGACAAATTTCCTGATATGCTTCATGAAGTAAAGAATGACCCTGACGAAGTGGAGTTGTTTTTGAATTCAAATAAATACTTCTACACTCCACCTGAAAACCCTTCTGAAATTCCATTGGGCCATCGATGCAGACTTTATAGTGTAAAAGAAGACACTGATATCATGGCCATAGAAGTCGATGAGAATGTTGATGTAAATTGCAAGCGACAGGGAATTAACCGCCCTCGCTGGAGTTCTTTGTGGAAAGAGCTTTGTTGTAATTTACCATTCTCTGGCTTTATTTAACTTTAAAACACAACTTAAAATACTACAAAACAATAATATGGCGGATTATATATAAGAATGAGTACTGCTGGTCTGAAGTACCGCAGATAGTGGCACAGGGAGACAAATTCCAATAAAACAATAATACAACAAGCTTCACAAAAGAGTTAATAGTCGCGTGACTCCTAACCCTATAGTGATGAAATTTGTTGGTGAAAATAATAGAAAAGGAGAAATTTTTAGGACTAATTTCTGCTATTTTAATGAGGAAACAAACATTGACATTAAGAATGCTGTTCTAGTAAAGAGCAAGAAGCATTTTCTTAAAAATGGTGAATCGGGAGTGCTCGTGTTTTTCATAGATAAAAAAAACAAAAAACAAGCCTTTGGATATGGTGTTGCAAGATGGACATTTGAAGAGGATGAAGAAGAGAAACCTGTTCCTGATCCCGAATATCCTTATTATTACATATGCTTTAAGCTACAGAGGGCTTTACGTAATTTATTTGGCGAAGGAAATTTCGAGAGATGTGGCTGTTTTGAACGATGTGCAAATGGAGACAATAAGCAAAACGGTCTTCCTACAGTTTAGAAATAACTAACAAACAAACTAGCCTGAAATTTTTATATGCATGATTTTGTTTTTAGTTTTCAGCTGTGGTATATTTCCACTGGGTAAAGGCCACGATGATGAATAATATGTTGAAGACATTTTTTTGTTCACTGCAAATCTATCCAGTATATTTATTAAACTCCCATTTTTTGCAGTGCCGTAGCCAGACATGATTTGTCACCGAGGCAGAGATCGCCCGAGTGTGCTCTTAACTCCTTTCCCCCTAGAAAAATTTTGAAATTCTCATGGTCGCGGGAAAATGGTTTCGCCACAAAATGCTTTAAACGTTTATAAATATTTATACAATGTAAATTACCACAATTTTTTAACTGTCACTAAACTCCGTTTTATTCAAATACTTGGTTGACTAATTGAGCATCATGTTAAATTCATTTTGATATATTACTTGCAAAACTTGTTTGGGGGTATTTTTCAAATTTCAGCAAACACACCACAGCGGAGAAAAATGACAAATTTTGCTTACTGTGTTTGAAAGGCTTGTACAAACGGAGGAGACTTTCGGAAAAAACTTGAGAGCAGATCTGTGTAAGCCCGAGACCGAAGAGTTTCCATCTTTGCACCTGTTTTCAAGTTCTCCCAATTAAAGGTACAATAACAACAGCCTCTTTAAAATAAAAATAATTTAAAACTAGAGGGCACTCAGACTGCATACCTCCGCCAGGTTCATTATTTTAATTTCTGCAAACGTACCTTGCAATCTAGTTGGTCAAATATGTAACATGGCGACGAACTCGCTCGCGAAATCCATTTTGTTTAAGTAGGTATGTAAATGTTTTCGGATAAACACAGATAGATTTAAATCACTTTTGATAAGCTATACAACGGTGTACTCAAAATAAGTTAACTTTTGAGATTGCTTCCTTTTGCGTAGCAATATATTTATTGTTGTAAGATTGTATTGATCTACTTACGCATTCAGTAAGTTTGCAATAAGCAAAACAAAATTGTTCTTCATTTCTTCGTCAATTTTAATCCAAATTCAACCAAAATTTAATCAGTTCTTCCTTCACCGGTGTTTCGTTAGTTATCGAGCGCACAGACAAACACAAACACATACACATACAAGTGAAAGCATAACCTTCCTGTCGGAGGTAACAACTTTTTCCTTCAAATTATGTTCATGATTGATTTGCAATTATTCTCTTTTATTTAACTAAAGGCCCATTCTCACAATCTAATTTTGTCAGATCCATCCTAAAAAACGGATCAACATGGAGCAATAGGTTGGATAAATAGGGAAGGAGGGGGTTGGAGGAATAGAAAGAAAGAGGCTTAGGGAACAGGAAGAAAAGGGATTGGTTGATAGGAAGAGTGGATTTAGAGGCATAAGAAAAGATGTTGGTGTCATAGGGAAAGAGGGTTAAAGTTTTAAAAAGTGGCTGGTTCCATGGGTAAAAGAGTAAGAGGAATATTTAATTAAGATCGACATAATTTGAGAAACAAAACAGAACACTAGTTTCAATAAATTTCCTTACTTCGATGGCAGTTTTCTGCGGGTCAGTACAGTCATCAAATCGTATGTGACAACCAACTTCTTGACCAATCTATGGTACCCCTTTCCTCAGCAACACAATGTCTGAATTACCTCATCCATTGTTTGAAACGCCAACAGTCAGATGGAGAGATCAAGTTGTTCTTCTTGGAGGTTATGATGGAAAAGAAATATTGAACAGTGCTATTATGTATGACAGCAAAACAGGAAAGAGCAAAGTCTTACCATCCATGTTGCAAAAGAGATGGGGATGTTGTGCAGTTATAAAAGATGATACAATTGTTGTCATGGGAGGTGTAAATGATAAAGATGAAGATCTTAAATCAATGGAGTGTTTTAGAATTGGATGGAGTTCTTCATGGATATATCTTCCTTCAATGAATGAACCACGAGAAGGAGCCTTTGCTGAAGTTTTACTATTTGGAAAAAAGGATATCTGAGCAGGTGTTTCCACTCTTCAAATTTTGTATTTTCATTCAATAAAGCCATATTTCCCCTTTTTGCGAAAATTTCGTGTCAAGAAATGAGGAAATTTCTTCCAAATTTCTTTCTCTGTTTTTAATGATTCAAGGTAAAAATAGATCATCAATAGTAAAAGAAAGCAATATTTCTGAATATTAAAATAAAAAACAAGTGTCTGCCTGTGCTCTAAGGCACGAATCAAATGAGCAAGTCTAATTATAAAACAAGCACAATGAAACGCGTGCGCTGATTGGTCTAGAGCTGTGTTCGCATTATTCTGTGTAAAACACATCTGAGCTCAACCAATCAAATCAATCAAAACAATCAATCATTCAAAGAGAATTTGCAAATCGATTATGAATACATTTTAAAGGAAAAATTAAAATGTTCGCTTTTTCGTATTATTGTTATTTTGTAAAAGAAATAAATGATGTTTTTCCTGTTCTCACTGGCTTATGCAAACCGTGGAGACGTTTGTGAGAACTCCCGAGCAGGCACAACCCTTGACCTTCGGTCTTGGGATTGCACTGATCTGCTCTTGAGTTCTCCAAAAGGTCTCCTCGGTTTGCATAAGCCTGTACAAACACAGTAAACATATTTTATTTCTTAAATAGAGTACAATATAAGTGCCATAATTTGAGCACAAACGTAAACGTACGTATGTTTTATAGACTAGTATTGTGTAAAAATAAGACCTAGGGACTAACACTAAAATAATTTTAGTTATTCGTTATCAACAATTGCTGATCATGATTGAAAAGATTCAACAATTAAAAAATTTAGTTTCATTCGAAAGTTGAATGAACAGAAAAAAAAAGTTGAATGAAAGAGGAAAAAACATTCAAACTTTGAAATGTGTACGCGCGAGTGAAAAAAAATACGTGTCCGAATTGCTTTTTGGCTTTATCGTGTTCTTGTGCAAGCTATTTAAAAATTGTTTCTCGGTTACACAATTCTCGCGCTATTTTACAGTGTGAGATGAACTATCAGAAGTCACACTTCCTATTCCATCAAAGGTTTTTTCAGATCTTGAGCGCTAAAAACTTTAATGACGTTTTCATAACAGTTCAGTTTTTTAATACAATCTGTGTACACTGCCTACATTATAAACTAAGTAATGCGTGTTGAAGGTGATGAATCAATAACTGATGAAAAAATGTCCTGACAATATTTACGTGAAACATAAAAATGTATGAATTTAATTGGTTTAATCTAAGCTAACAATGTCTACAGGAAATTACACGAGTATAAATTTAGGGAGAACTAAGTTTACAATGAGACTGCGCAGAATCATTTTCTTATTCTTGAATTCCAGTAATATTCTTGATCAGTCTAGAATTTTCTTCTGACTTTTTCAACACTTTAGCATTCTGAATTTGTAATTCTTTAACCATTTTAATCAACGTCATTAGATCTTCATTTTTTTCGACTTGCTTCGAGCTCACGTCTTCTTTATCGGAGGAAAAATCATAAAATATAATTCCATCGACAAAATTAGAAAATACACGCTTTTGGTTGGGCCATTCCACCAAAGGATCTATAAGTGCCTTTTCTTTTTTCGTGAAATAAGAAAATATGAACTTCTTTCTTTCAAGGTTGATGATCATGTTCGCCTATAAATTGGTTGATAAGACGAATATAAAGAATTCAGTTGCACGTAACAAGGAATTCATAACTTTTAATATATTTCGTAATTTTATAGTGTAAAGTCTAATTTTATGTTAGATTATATTAAAAAATGATGCTTCACTAATTCGATCGTTTTGCCATTTTTCTTACCGTATGAATATGTTTCCGCAATTTGGCGTCCTTTCTAATCTTAGATGCATCCTCAATGGCAAGGGCGAGAATGAGGTTCATAATAACGACAGGCATGACGACGACGAAAACGACAAAAAGAACTATCTGTTGTGGGTAAAACATGTCGTAATAATGGTGACGAAGAAATGTCTCTTTAAAATCAATTTCTCCGATCGTCATGATCGCTGTAGTTAACATCGAGGTTTGAAAATTCCCAAATCCCTCTCTGTCATTCAGTATCACTGTAAAGGCTGCTGCAAACGCGACGAAGAAAAATAATAACAGACTCAAAACCTAAACAAAAATATGAGGAATTATTTTAAGGCCCGCTCACACGATCCGATTTGTCGGATATTGATATCCGATTGTTTCGGTTCCGATTTTGGTTGCTATTTAAGATAATTTTGTTCATATTTATATTCGTTTAAATATTTATAGTCTTGGGAGCAGACATTTGTGATATCCAGTACATTATCGATATATTTTTCGTATTTTTGTTCTTGTTTCCAAGCCTTTTTCAAGTCTAATGTTTTGCGCTAAGTGAAATTTGGAAAGTATGGAGAGTGAAAGGTCTGGGACTAGTCGGCTTTCTTTGATCTTATTGGATGAAAATAGAAGAAGTTCTATTTCCATCCGATTTTCAGACGGACGGATCCGACTCTCGGAGGCTAGCTTTATATGTGTTCTCACAATCCGTTTTTTAAGATCCCATAAAATCGGGTGAACGGGCCTTTAGTCTGAGAAAACTTTGATTAAATATTCAATTAAATTGAGCATCTTAGATATTATTTCTTAGAATGCCCTTGAACATTGGCTTGTTTCATGTTCGAAAGATGTCTTTAACATGAGTTAAATGATAGACACCAGGGCCCGGTTGCACGAAGCCTGGATAGCGCTATACATTGGATAGCAAAAGTCTTCAAACTTGTAAAAAAGGTGTTTATATTTTTCTTACGACAAAGAAATTTCGTAATCTTCGAAACAATATTTTTTTTTCAGTGATTGTTCAGTTTGAATATTATACTTTTTACTTTTTAAAAGGTTTTATAATATATTAATCCTAACACGATTTTAATATGCACACGAAAAACATGTGACTTGGACGAGATTTGAACTCGGTTTTGAACTCGGGAAAAGGTTTTATAAAAGTTTACAAAAACGTGATATCCAATGGATAACGCTATCCAGGCTTTGTGCAACCGGCTCCTGATGGATAAATGACATTATTGATTATGGAAAAACGCTAATGTGAATGACGGTACACAATGGTATGGAGTGATCACGTTTTTAATTCTTTGCGGATGTTATTTTGCACAGCCAACGTCTGCCACACATGCTAGTTTCTTTTTGCACAATTATTTACCATGTGGACGAACCTTAATTAATGTTACGAAAATTTTCTTCATCATTTGTATAACAATTCCGTAGTAGGCAAATCTTCTGAAATACATAATAAGATTCATCCAAGAACAGAACAACGCCAGAGAACAGGATTTCCATTGTAAACTTGTCTTTACTGAGATATTGTCGTTACTCGGTACAGCAAAGATGAATGTTGATATGTAGAGAGTCCATTCCAAATAGTTGACTTTGTCGCGTAAATAACTCTTCCCGTTAAGCACGAACTAAACAGCAAGAACACGATTTCAATATGTAGCCAGATTTTTGGCACGTATGTAACTACGATACTTTCTTTCTAATATATCAATGTGTTATGATGTAAATGAAATGAAATGGTATAATAAATTTGAAACAGAAAAAAACATAGTGTTGGAAAAAAAATACACACCTGACAAATTTCTTTCAACGTCTGAAAGCCGGCAGAAACAAGACAGATACTCATCGCTAACATAACAATTATTGATGCGTCCGGTAATTCTTTAGGATGTATAAAAATGACACAATTTCTTAAACAACTGAAAATTTTGTAAAATCACATATATGTTCAAAACTTCGACTAATAATTTATAATACTTATATTTTTTGTCACAAAGTCGGTTAACTAAATTGTGTTCTTGGTTTTAACTCTTGAAATCTACCCAATCGTTTAATATGCCAGACGAAAGCAGTTTCTTAGTATTAAAGAGGTACATCACATTTTGGCTTATACATAGCCAATATAAGGACTATTTACATGATCTCGGCTAACCGAGATACAGTGAGGCGTGAAATGATTTTTGAGGCATTAAAAGGAGGTAAAACTTCAAGCTAAAAAATTATAATTTTTTTTAAGCACCACATTCGTGTTGTAATTCTCAAATTAGGCCAAACTGGTTGTGTTCATTTTAAATGTTTACGTAGTTAATAAATCAGAATATTTTGAAAATGCAAAAGAAGATTTATCTGAGGATTAGTATTGAATTGTTTCCATTTGTCAGAATCATTCAACGTTTGGCTGAATCCTAACTACCCAGGATCATGTAAATAATCAGCTTTAAGTAAGTCTTTCTGACCTTGATTCTTAATTGACTCTTTGTATGAAGGAATTTTGAACGCATAAACGTTTAGAGAAACCAGAAATACGACATAAATTAACAATCCAGCCAAATAAACTTTGCATCCAAATGCCTTCCATTTTTCTTTTAGATATTTACAGCAGACAGGATGCTGTAAACATTTAAAGCTGCCACTTTTCACCATCGCTTTGATGGCAGTCAGCGGCTTCACATTTACTATCAGAGAAAAACAAAAAATGCCCAAATGATTTTGCAATATCCATGATGTACAATAAATTATGACATATTTGCTGTATCATACCTGTAGCGTTATTATTCTGTAAACACATAAAGTCGTATTCAATTTTGTAATCCTTACTCTCTGAATCACCTATACGCGTCTCGCTGTTAACGAGAGCTTGATATGCCACTTCGGACATACCTTGGGAAATCAACGTTTTCATCGTTGCTTCAGGACCATCCTTTGTTGATTCCATTATCTAAAGAAGAAACACAGTTTCCAACAAATTCTTATTTAAATGAAGATATGATCTTCGCACTTTGCTGGACAATTTAAGCAATCGTCTCAGGACCTGAAAAAATCAGGTGACTCAACGGGATTCGAACCCATGATTTTTTCAGATGCATTTAACGACTTTAACCAATATTTTTATGGTTACTGTAACCAATCATATGGCTATTTTAACCAATCATTTTTTACGGTGTAAGGAAGAAAGTTTTAACCGTTTCTGAAAAGTGCTTTTTAATCGACAGTTCAATATGAAAAAAAATGAAAACCTCTTTCCATCTTTTATGGCACATCATCACCATTGCTGTATCTTTATTTCTATTACTAATCATTTCGTCAAAATAAGAAACTTTATCTGTGGTAATGGCTGCCTTATTATCAAGTAAAATTTCACTACATCTGTCTTGCCATTCAAACAAGCTTTAAACAGTGGTGTCTGTCCATCTTTGTCTTTGTGGTTGATCAAGGAAGGTTTGTGCTCCAGCAACAATTTAACAGTTTCGAGATGTCCATGACACGCTGCAATATGAAGTGGAGTGGAATAGTTGATGTCGCTATATAAAAGGAACCAAAAAAATATTGGCTTAAATTAACGTCTCAACTCCATCAACGCTGCGGCCTGCGTTCATTTGTGTTCTCACGTGGATTTAGCTGCTTAGAAACACAACAGATAGAAAATTTACCTCGTCATTAATATTTCGTATTTCAGAAGATATTTAACGACCCGTGAGCTACTATAGTATGCAGCTGTATGAAGCGGAGTTTGTTTGGTAGCATTAGCCATGGAAATTAACTTTCTACAATTGTCAAGTAACAATTTAATGATACCAAGATTCTGAGAAATAACAGCGCAATGTAAAGGCGAACTTTGGTTTTCTGAGAGGACGTTCAGCTCAGCATGGTTGTCAATCAGAATTTTAACACTCTAAAAAACGTTGTTTACTTAAACCTAACGTTGCTAACAAGTTAACTCCAAAGGAAACGAGGAAAAATACCTCGACTCGGCCTCTTTTAGCTGCAGCATGTATTGGAGCATAACCATCGTCTGTTCTTTTTTCATTTATCAACGAAAGAATGTCGCTTTCCTAAGAAGTAATTAAAATTCCAGCTTCTCTATTTACCCCCAACATAAAATCCGAAAAAATTATACCTTAAGCAAAATCTTCAATAGTTTAGGATGAGCTACTGCACAATGAAGAACTGTGCCATTTTTATCTCTTTTAATGAAACGAGCTTTTTCTTTTAGCAATTCTTTCACGTCTTCAACATGACCACCTTCTACGGCAAGGAGCAAAGCACGATGAGAGAGACCTGCATAACGATCGCACGTGCACGTAGGCGATGCTTGCCCGCTGTGCGGTATTTCATCACTGTTGTAAAATAAAGGTAAATGCAAATAAATAGGTTAGGCTGGTGATAGATCAGATAATATCACAAGGCAATTTTAAAATAAATAACACTGATGTAATGGACTTGTGTGCGTTTAAAGCATTCTACATGAAGGCATGAAATTGCGAAATAATTTAACATGAAAGTAAAAATAACGTACGATAAATGATTGAAATTCGGTTCTACTTTTATCTCGCCATGCTGTGCAAGTGAAAGTTCCATCGGTTCTAGTCTTATCTTGTCATGCTGTACATATGAAAGTTTTTTCCTCCCTCTTAGTCTTATCTTGTCATGCTGTACAAGTGAATCTACCATCGGTTCTTCTATTATCACGGCACTCTGCACAGGTAAAGCTTCATCCGTTTCTTCTATTATCGTGGCATGCTGTACAAGTGAATCTCCCATCAGTTCTTCTTTTATCTTGTTTTGCTGTACAAGTGGATCTCCCATCGTATCAATAAACCTTGACAACATCTCCTCCATGCTATTTTTACGCACAGCGTTAACCAAATAACCACCACCACTATTCATTTCTTCTTGCAAACAGGAACGTATCATATCTTCATCTTGTTGCAGACAAACTTCTACAGTACTTTTATCTCCGCTGTCCACAGCTACATGAAGTATATTTTGGTGATGTTTCCCGCCATGCTCCTTGCTGAACAATAATTCTTTCACTCTACTTTTTTCTATGGAAAAGACCATTTATAACATTAAAGAAAATAAACAGCAAACAGTCTTTATACTTCCTAAAATATAAACTAAGATATCGCGTGTTCGCGTACATCGTGACGAATTAACAACAGAATATGAATAGTGATAACAGTCGTTATCATACACCTAAATTAAAAACTAACATAAGTTGTGTCCGTTTGCAATATAAAAAGAGGGCAATTCATTCTTTTTTAAGTTTTGTGTGGCCATAGTCTATAAGCAATTATGCATGACATTAGCAATGTACAACAAAACAAAAACATTTTACCATGCTTTAAGAATAGATCGAGCAAGCCAGCTCGTCCTTTTTCTGCAGCGATATACAATGGTGATCTGTTCGAGCCATCAACTTCTGTGATATTTCCACCATGCTCCAGCAACACCTTGGCGACGTCGACAAAGTTGTACATGGCAGCAAAAAAAAGTGGCGAGCGGCTATTCTTGTTTTCAACATCGTTCACAAGATGAACAATGAAATCTTGATCCAACAATTTTTTAAGAATAACTACATTAGAAATTGATGCAATATTATTGAAAATCTTCTTCTTTCGCCATTCATAACAGGGTATTGTTCTGTTCAAAGTAAAGTTAACTCCCACAGGCTACAGCAATGGAAGTAAACTATAATATCTACTCTTGTTTCACAAAATGATTTAAAGAAGCTTTCGCTTTCAACTAATCTTCATACAGCTGAGCCAAAGTCAGATCTACAGCATCCCTACCAATGATTTACATTTTCCCTAGATTTCTACTAACAGCCGTGTCAAGGTCAGTGAACTGAATATTTAAATAACTGGAATGATAACTGAAGGCAAAAAATTATTTGTCGTCATCATTCGTCATCACTCTTGCTTCTCGCGTGTTTATAAACAATTGTATTTTTTCGGATCCTAGACTTTAATTTGACCTCAGTTGATTTCATTTTACTAGTCAGTTTTATCTTCACGAAGAAAATCTTTTGAATTATATTTATTTCAATTCTACATCATCCTCAGTGCAAAAGAATTATTTTGTTTTTTAAATAAACTAAAAGAATTTGTTGGTATGAATTTTTATTCGACAAGATTTACATATAGAATGAAAACATCTTTAATATAGCTACTATATATTTTTGTCATACACAGTCGATCTGCTCTTAAGCTGAGGTTTTCCTTTAAAACATATCAAAGTATTTAAGGATATTTAATTATTAGTATCGAGATGTCAACTATTTAGTATTTCAAGCACTATCAAAATCGATGGAAATGACAATCGCTCTGTAAAAAGTAAAAATGCGAGTTATAGACTCAATATTTTTTATGAAACTGGATGTTCAAGTTTCTTTTTTCTTCGGAAAACAGATCTTTAAATCCACTGAAATGACAAAAAAAGACAAACACTGTATGGCATTGTTTGAAAAATTACCTTCTAATGTAAGAAAAATTTTTGATTGAATATTTTCTCGTCATATCTTCTTATTGTATTGTCTTTTTATCATACAGTTTAATTTTCAGTTGGCTTTTCCTTGTTACAAGTTTTAAGTTACAACGAACTCACTGTAGTAAAGTTTCAGCTGTAAAAAATAACCTTTTGCAAAGAGTTGGCTTCGTGTGTTGTTTGTCGTGATTTGTCTATGCTTTCGCAATTTATATTCAAATTTATATTGGCCGTGTATGTTTAGCACTCAGGGGAATGAAACTGACGTACAAACCGCGTGAATATTCGACTTTGAAGGACTGGAACAGACGTACAAACCGCGCAAGATACTAGGACTTAGGCTTCAACTTTTTATCTATAAAATGTATTGTCGTTATCATTCCAGATATATATATATATACCGTACGTCCTGTGTCCAGGAGTCACCATTTTAACATGGTTATAGCCGGGAGGGCACATTGAATATACACTTTGTATATATATTTATATATTTTATATATTCATATATTTATATATATATATGTATTGATAAGAAGAAGAAAATACACAAAACTACAATTTCATCCCGACAAGCCTGTTTCGTGATTTCTCACTCTTATTAAATTCTTATTATACTCTCAATATTAAATTTAATATTATCCCTGAAGAGTGAGACATCACGAAAGGCTTGTCGAGATGAAATGTAGTTTTTGTATTTCTTCTTCGTATCAACATTTACGCTTTGCTCTTAAGCATCGAGCACTGTACTTACGGAGATTCAAATAAACAAAACTTCCTATATCTAAATGTATATAAGTTTGAAAATTTGTAATCCAGGCATTGAATAGATAAAAGATAAAAGTTTCTCCGGATTTTAAATGATTTTTAATGAGCTTTCGACTCGTTGCTTCGAGCCTGCATCAGAATAAGGATATTTATTTGCACGTGATTTTAGCTTGGAGATGTTTAGAGCGTCCAATCACATTAATCCACCAATCACATTAATTCATCCAATCACATTAATCCACCCACTAATCTGATTAGACGCTCTAAACGTCTCCAAGCTAAAATCACGTGTAAATAAATATCCTTATTCTGATGAAGGCTCGAAGCAACGAGTCGAAAGCTCAATAAAAATCATTTAAAATCCGGAAAAACTTTTATCTTTTATCTATATGTATATATATGGAGTTCACTGGTCAAGGTAAGGCAAGGACGCCATTTTGAAAGGTTGTGAAAAGTAAACTTTAACAAAAAAAAGTTAAAAGAAAATTTCAAACAAAATCCTATCAAACATGTTACAAACCAAACCTAGAGCATCAACCTTAAAAGCTGAATTTAGAGGTAAATTATTACTGACGGTTTTTCTACCTTTCAATATGGCGGCTTTCCTCAATCGTAACTATAGAAGTTTTGAGAGGATAGGAATTTAGTAGATTCGGTTCTTGGTCATTGACCGTTACGTGCTTACCAACGTCATTCATTTCCGTGGCTACATGAAGTACAGTTTCTCCATTCTTAGCTGTCACACACTTCGTATCTTTCACTTGATTAAACAAACAAGTAAGCGCACGAAGACTTCGGAACTCCACGGCATAAAATATGCATGGTCGTCCTCTTTCATCAAGTTCGGCAAGTAATTTTTGAACTAAAACAGAACATTTAATTATCGAACTGGAAAGAAAAATCGTTTACATCTTATTAAAGGCATACTTACTTTCTCGTTCACTTGTTTTCTCCCTCAAGATGTCGTTGATCATTTTCTCATCATCGTTAAATGCTGCAAGTTTTATTCGGTTAGCATCCTTCATCTTACCGTCATCTCGTTCTACTATATTTGTTTCGCTCTCTGCTTCGATAGATGTCAGGGGTGTCAATGCTAAACCCTTGGGTTCGTTGCCTGTGTTATGTCTGAGGTCCAGCTTAGTCCACTTCCGTGATCTGTTAGACATTGCTGACAGAAATAAAAGAATTCCTTTCAAAAGTATGAAGCATAAACAAAACCGTGAAACTAAAACAAAATGTCATGCTATTGTAATGAACATTCACATTTCAGTTGTGTTTAACTAATTTTTCAAATTTACTGTTTTCATTAAGTTATGAAAGCATAAGAAAGAGTAAAAAATGTGTAAATAAAAAAACAAAGAATAATGCCAGCTATTTCAATATGATGAGGCTCGTCCCACTTAACCGAATACAACCTATAAATTGTTTTGTAGTAAAGTAAATGGTTTGAACACAGAAGTATCGTTAGATTTTTGTAGATGTAGATCGTCCAGGTTAGTGGAGTCCTGAGAAGGACTGTTTTTGTTTATGTTGACTGACGTTTCGACAACCTTAGCGGTAGTCATCTTCAAAGTTAACGATTGGTTGTCGAAATGTCAGCCAACATCAATGCCAACAGTTCTTCTCAGGACTTTATATTAACCGGGGCGGTCTAAATCTACAAACATGTAAATTGTCTTGTGTCGTACTGAACGACGTATTTTTCATAAATAGCTGCGGTAAGGAGTTTTGGTACAGTGTTATGTCGGATATAAATGAAAACTTTAAAGTATGATTTGATTTTTTGTGACGCATTTTCTCAACACTTCTCTCCCACGTTGCCGTATGCATGGCAATATCAAGAAAACCATCCAAAACTGATAGAACCAAAAAAACTTGGGAAATAAAGGAATAAAACAAGCGCAGCTCATCAAACAGAAAACATTGTAAAAAAAGTTAAAAAGCTTGGTTTTACTATAAAGTACTCCAGCAAGTTATGGAAGCAAGCATGACTATTTCATTTATTTCAAGGAAAATAAATATTGCAGGTAGCTACGTTCTCAAGGAATCACGAAAATTTCAAAAGAATTCGTCGCCATTTTGATCGAAGACCATTTTTTTAAAATAATAAATTACCTTTGATAATTTCACTTTCAAACGCTTGTAAAGGGTTTCCGTATGATACGTCGTATATATGGATAAATCGTTCCAACAAGGCATTGCACTTACCGCATTTAATATTTTCTTTATTATTTAATCGACAATTTAGGTATTCAAGAATGTTCATCAATACCACTCAAGTATTGAGAAGTGAGAACGTTTTATATGGAATGCCAGAGCTGTCTTATGCCATGATATTTTGTTACGTCTTGTTAATTCATCATTATATGCGGTCCATTATATGCAGTGATACTTTCGTTATATGCAGTCCATCTGTCATTATATGCGGTCCATTCCTCATTATATGCAGTGATATTTTTGTTATATGCGGTCCATTTGTCATTATATGTAATGCACTTTTCATTATACCTTAACTTATTATGTGGTTATTTCGTTATGTGGTAATTTCGTTATGTGGTTATTTCGTTTCGTTATTATACATAGGATTATATCATGTATTTCATTATTTATAATTTACATGAAAAAAATTCTCAACTCTAATTGGTTAAGTGCAGGGCTATTAACGCAAATGCTATTGCCTATTGACTATTTGACTATTCAACGTGTTGAACAAATCGTTTAATACAAATTACAAATGTTCAATTTGAGCCTGTGTTGAACAAATCATTTAATACAAATTACAAATATTCAATTTGAGCCTGTTCAGTTAATCGAAGGTACTTTATGTTAAATATCACATAACGAAGAAAAAAAATGAACACATGATGAGATAACCACATAACGAAATTACCACATAACGAAATAATCACATAACGAAATAACCACAAAACGAAATTACCACATAACGAAATTACCACATAACGAAATAACCACACAACGAAATTACCACATAACGAAATAACCACACAACGAAATTACCACATAACGAAATAACCACATAACGAAATAACCACATAACGAAATAACCAGAAAATAAGTTAAGGTATAATGAAAAGTGCATTACATATAATGACAGATGGACCGCATATAACAAAAATATCACTGCATATAATGACGAATTGACCGCATATAATGACAGATGGACTGCATATAACGAAAGTATCACTGTATATAATGACGAATTGACCGCATATAATGACAGATGGACTGCATATAACGAAAGTATCACTGCATATAATAACGAATGGACCGCATATAATGATGAATTAACAAGACGTAACAAAATATCATGGCATAAGACAGCTCTGGCATTCCATAAATGCTCTTACGTCATGTAGCCACGTCATGTGTTTAGGTACTTATTTATCTTTTATATTGTAAAATAATAAACAGAGTAAATTACATTTAGCAAAATCACACCTGCGGGGTACTTAAGCAGGAAGTTTAATGTCGATTTATATTAAACTTCTCTAGTCGTGTACGACATTGGATTTAAGGCCTCAGTAAAAATGACCGCACAGTGCCATGTCTTCTCCTTACCCTAAAAGTTTTTTCTATCAAAATGTGATGTGTTTTTAAGATCGCGTGTATAAATGCACTTAGTTTCCATATAAAGACCATTAGTGGACCATCAAGATGCTATATATATATTTCTTTTATAACGTATTTCTTTAATTTCGTAAAAGCACTATTGCCAATGCACATTTAACATAAACGACAAGTTTTTTGAAAATAGACATGTTTCGACATCTCATGATGCCATCTTCAGTATGAGTGAAATAATAGGTCATACAAGGTTTATATAAAAGTAATATGATACATAAATTACAACAATAAAAAGGAAATAAGATAAATAAATGGGGAGCGTCCGAGCGTATTATAAACTAAATATTGTATTGAATTTAAAAACTTGAACATTGAGGACAGGGTTAGTGTTGTTAATGTGGAGTGAATGAGGTGTCGGCAGTGTCGATGATTTTGAAGCAAAAGGGTGAATAGTTGGTTTTACATGAGTGAGATTTAAGAAGGTGTCGGTAGATATGAGAGTTTTTGTCTGTTGTGCTATGTTCCCTGATTCTGGTGGATAAATGGCACGAAGTTTCGCCAATGTATCGGGAACTACATCTCGCGCAATTGAATTCATACACCACCATAGATTTAATTGAATCAGGGATTGGGTCTTTGAATGAGAAAAGGTTTTTAATTTTGAATGATGTGAAAATTAGTCGTATGTCAATATCTGTACAGAAGCGTTTCATAATGTTTGTAAGTCTGCGTTGTGTGTGTCATGAGTAATGTCCGATGTATGGTAGTTTGAAGTATAGAGTTGTTATTTTGGAATTTTCATTTGTGTTGGTTGTGATCGTCGTGTCAGGAGTTTCGGTGTTTAGCTTGAGGTTGTTGCTATGTTTGTTGTCGAGATATCGTTTTACGGTTCTGTTAATAAAGCGTAGTGGGAAACAGTTTCGTAAAATTAGTCGAATGTCAATATCTGTACAGAAGCGTTTCATAATGTTTGTAAGTCTGCATTGTGTGTGTCGTGAGTAATGTCCGATGTATGGTAGTTTGAAGTATAGAGTTGTCCACTCTTTGAAGTATAGAGTTGAAGTACAGAGTTGTCTGAAGTATTGTTTGAAGTATAGAGTTGTCCACTCTTTTACGAAACTCTTTCCCACAACACTTTATTAACAGAACCGTAAAACGCTCTCGACAACAAACAAAGCAACAACCTCAAACTAGACACCGAAACTCCTGACACGACGATCACAACCAACACAAATGAAAATTGCAAAATAACAACTCTATACTTCTAACTACCATACATCGGACATTACTCACGACACACACAACGCAGACTTACAAACATTATGAAACGCTTCAGTACAGATATTGACATTCGATTAATTTTCACATCATTCAAAATCAAAAACCTTTTCTCATTCAAAGACCCAATCCCTGATTCAATTAAATCTATGGTGGTATATGAATTCAATTGTGCGGGATGTAATTCCCGATACATTGGCGAAACTTCGCGCCATTTATCCACCAGAATCAAGGAGCATACCACAACAGACAAAAACTCTCATATCTACCGACACCTTCTTAAATCTCACTCATGTAAAACCAACTATTCACCCTCTTGCTTCAAAATCATCGACACTGCTGACACCTCATTCACCCTTAAAATCAAAGAAGCACTCCACATTAACAAAACTAACCCTGACCTCAATGTTCAAGTTTTTAAATTCAATACAATATTTAGTTTATAATACGCTCGGACGCTCGCCATTAATTTATCTTATTTCCTTTTTACTGTTGTAATTTATGTATCATATTACTTTTATATAAACATTGTATCACGTATTATTTCACTCATACTGAAGATGGCATCATAAGATGTCGAAACATGTCTATTTTCAAAAAACTTGTCGTTTATATTAAATGTGCATTTCTTTAAGCTGTGCATATTTCTTTTATAATATATGTTCTAAAAATAAATCTCAAAAACGAGCTGCTTTTTATGACACAGTAATCGCAAGCAATCTTGACTGGATGATACAACATCACTGGAAAAGGCAACAACTCCTGAACTCCAGCTCCTTCGCGATCGTTGTCAGTCCTTTCATGTTGAGTGGAAGGTGCTTCTGTCCTTAAAATTCATAAAAAGAAAGTGAAGAGGCTTTCTATGAAGACAGAGAAACTTTAAGATCGTCAAAATAGTTTTTTCCGAGAATCTAAATAGTTTCTCGTATGGTTTCAAAAACTGCAATCTCATTCCTCCAGCCGCCATATGAAAACAGTAGATAATCCATAATCCACAGTGATAATCCATTTCGATAATCCTGATGATTTAAATCTACATGACAGAACGAAAAGGAATACTGGTAAATGTTGGGTACAATCAGTGGCGTTGCAAGGATTTTGCGGCGAGGAGAGAGTGTAAGCTAAGAACTAATTTTTCAGCGGAGAGCGCATCAAAATTCGCCCTACTTAAGAGGTGAACAAAATTGTACTAAGAATTTTCTCTGCAGTGTAATGTAAAAGAAAACGAAAACATCAATCAATACCAGTGATCCCACCCAACACAGGGAGTTTGCATTCTTTAACTTCCAAAACTGGGCGGACTTGTGCATTATGACAAAACACGTTCTCGTCGCAGTCATTACAAGTACATTACTGTTTACTGGAGCGCTAGTTTAAAATTGTGAAACAACATTTGCCTACTATTTCAGTAATAATAGAAACAACAACTATAAAGTGATCACTCACCCCGGCGGCTCGTGGATACTTTTTGCATTTTTATAACAAATGACGTCATACCCGTGTATCTATAACTGTATAGACAACAGTTAAATGTTATCTATTTGTTAAAAGGATATAGCTGTTCCAGTGTGTCCACAGTAACCATACTATACCTTCATATATCCTACCTCAAACACAATTAATCGTTGTAATCGTAAGAATTTGTTATGTTGAATGATAAATTTATATTTATCAATAACTAATTAAATTATATGTGATAAGTTAAATAGTTCAAATTACCATCACAAAAATACATCGCCTTTCTTTTATTTTGTGAGAGAACGCGTTATGGTCATAGTCATTAAATGTACGTTACTGTTCACCACACGAAAGTTAAAGTTCTTGGATCAACATTTGCTTATCATTCGAATAATATAATAAACAACATCCTCACTTTTTAAAACATCCGTTTCTAAATATGACTCACTCTTGGATTAAGCGTAAATAAGAGTTTAGAGACAAAAATTTATTATAAATCAAGAGAAAAAAGAAAGACAGTTAGTCGGTAAAACACGTGCTGTTCGAACATTGTCACAGTAAGGTGATATAACACAGTATACTAACATGAAGTAGTTAAATGATGCACGATAGTCCATGACCATGTCATGTCTTCATTTCATTTTCATGTCTTCAGATCGTATCTTCATTTAAGTCCATGACCATACTAATATTATTTCAGTTATTGTTGCTACATTTAAATTCAATGTTGTTGATTTGTTGACGTTTAACGGTTTTTAGTTATACAAAGGGGAGGGAGCTGAGTCTATTACGGTGTGATTACTTTACTGTAGGCAAGCTGAAACGGTGTGACTACAGGGTGTATAAAAACTGAACAGTTAGGAAAACGACTCCAAAGTTATCAGCGCACAAGTACTGCAAATACCTTTGATGGAATAGGTAGTTGGACTTCCAATGATTCAATATTGTGACAATTGATTTGCCAGGCCGAAAGCGAATTATAAGTATAAATTGCCCAGCATAAAACTTTCAATATGACCGTGGGTAAATAGTTTTTTATTAATAACGTTTCCTCTTTAGCTTAAGACATCTTTGGATACCACTAAATCTCATCTAATTCCATTCAACGCCACTCTATACCTTAACGAAAAAATTCACACAACACTGTCATCACTATACCTTGTAATTTAACACTCTGTAAATATTACATAATTATTATACATGATTTCTAACAGCCTATATGTATGTATTCCAACTTGAAGATGTCTTAGGCTAAGGACGAAACGTTATTATTAATAAAATTCTTTGTTCATGGTCATGTTAAAAGTTTTATGTTGGGCAATTATATTCCCACTAAGAATTTCAATGATTCATCTGATGGTAAAATTTTTGAAAATAATGAACATTTTCAGTGTGAGAATTGTTTTACCGAGAAGCACTTTTGATATAGCTTGCGCATGAAAGTGACAAAGTCAAAAAGCAATTGGTACACCCACGGTTAAAATCCATATGGCACTTGTTGTTCAAGCTTACAAACTTCCTGAAAATTTGGCCCAACCGTGCAAAAACGCTAGACATTCAAATCGTGGATTATTTTGCGCTTTTTCCTTTTTAATTGCCATTTTCCTGAAACCTTCATCAATTATTCATTGTAGTGGCGGAAAATAATTACAGCCTTTCCAGTGTGGAGGAAAAGTCTGCAAGATATATCATTTATTCATAATATGATAGATATAGCCTTGTCATTGTGCTCACAAAAACCTTGAGGTGTCATGTATACATTTCAAAATACCTTACAGAGTATGAGTATAATTATGTTTTTTCGAAATTCATAGATCTTAAATAATTAATTTTAAACACTGGATCCGTTACTGCGCTATCTTACTAATTGATCAATCTATTCCAGATCAGAGCTTAACTGAAATACATTATTACAAACGAAATCCCAAGGATTTCCCTATTGACGAACATTTCACGTTAATTCAAGGGGAACATTTTTCAGTGATTTTACAAACTCTACGTGCTTTGCATGAACAGTGTCCCAATGTTCTTGTTTTTGAATCTCATTTAACCAAGAATGAATTGACGGCCATAATTTCATGTCGATGCTCTCCATCCATTCAAGTTGAATTATCACCGTGGCAACATAAAAATCTGCCACAGTTGGTTTGCTGACACAGATCATAAATTTTGAATCTCGTGCAAAATATTTTTTCTCCATCGATTCCAGAACGCCGACAGTCTTCTTCATCGCTTCCTTGACATTCAGGTCATTTTCTTGGGATGTTCCAAGGAATTGTGGGTAAACAAGTTGGTAACCAATCAAACTGCAGGAAAGAAAATTCACGTCGCTTTCTATAAATCATGGGAGCAAATGACATGAGCCGGCAAACATACCTGTGTAGTTCAGCTGCAGCCCATTCTAAGATATTGTATATCTTGGACTTTACTAGTGGGTCTTCGTGCCAGCCTTTGTGTCGTTCGGGATATTTTATGTCGAGATGACGAAGACAAGGAACGCTGTGTGAAAAGAAAGACTATTTTGCAATTAAACTACTTATAAAGTAAATGTTTTGAACCCGGGAGTATCGTTACATGTTTGTCAATGTAGATCGTCCAGGTTGGTATAGTCCTGAGAAAGACTGTTTTTGTTGTTGTTGACTGACGTTTCGACAACCTTAGCGGTAGTCATCCTCAGAGTCCTTTCTGACTTTGAAGATGACTACCGCTAAGGTTGTCGAAACGTCAGTCAACAACAACAAAAACAGTCCTTCTCAGGACTATACCAACCTGGACGATCTACATTTACAAACTATTTATGATGATATATAATAATTTGTCGACTTTCGATGACAATTTTTACCCGAATATGTCGAGCGCCTGTAAATCTAGCGAGTTTATAGATGCATTTATCAACTTAAATTTCAGTAACGATTGCTAAATTTTCCACGAAAAGTCTTGTTTAAATTTAACAATTAACTTGTGATGTACTTTTAATTCATTCGTAATTGCAGACTTGTAGCATTGTTCTAAATTTACCTTGAATCAATTAAAACTCGAAGAAAACGTTTATAATTTTATCTCGTTAGCAAACAATACTTACATTCCGACTATACTTTTTTGCTCATCTTCAATAATCGGTAATCGTCTGTGGTCGCCATCAGCTAATTCAAACTTTGAGCTTTTGTCGTTGATTCGCGCGAATATGTCAACATCGATTAACTCAAAAGGGATTTCGTTCTATAAATGGTTTATTGGATAAAATTGATGTTTCTTTAAGCTAAGTTGTTTGATTTGCACAGAAATAAACACTTCTACCAACATGACCTCTGTTCGAAAGACGACATCATTCATAAATTTTTCAGTTTGTATTCAAAAAGAGAATAAATTCGCGTGGTTCTATAATGTCTGATATTTGTTGAACATCGAATAATTGAAAATTTAAATGCGTACATACAATAAGCCTTTAAAATAAAAATGTTGGGCGATCATGAGTTATGTCATGGGAGCCATTCAACAGTTTGCAACGCGATTGTAAAATTATGAAGGAAATTTTGTATTTCGCTTGACGAAATTCAAGTGAACAAAATGCCATTAAACACTGCGGATATTCATTAGTTCAAGTTTATCAATCAACAAAGCACTTCTCGACAATAGCAAAAGTCTCACCTGTAATAAATACAGCCAAACGACGCGACAACAAGGCGAAACGCGAACCAAATGAAGTTTCAAAGCCTTCATATTCCTGAAAGGCTCAGCTTACAATCCTGATTAGTAAAGACTGATAAAATATTTCTAGTTTTGCGAATATGTCGTATGGTCCGGCGACTTAAACGGTCACACAATTTGACAATTAACGCTATGTGCCAATGGCAATCGAAAGCTTCGATGGCAATTTCTGCTTGGCTGAAACACTTCACTCAATTGATTCCTGTGACGCTTAACAATATTTACTCGAACGATTTATACTGTGAACTAATCCACGGAGAAATATTGATTTGTCCACAGAACAAAGCGACAATATTGACAAATGAACGTCTAATTGATGCAGACGGTGAGCGCGTGAGCGTCATAGCAAAAATGTTTCTGATTACATACCCCCCGGTATTGTAAACGTCGTCATAGCGACTGTGATTCTAATCGCAATCAAAATGGCCGCCGAAATTTCAAAATTTGTGAAGGCCATTTGAATGTCTGAAATGCAGTTTCCTCCGTTGGCTCGGTGAGTTTTGAGAAATATTTTATTAATTGAATGTATTTATATTTTGAAAAGTTGGTTTTAAAGCATTGAATAATTGACTTACTTGTTATTTTTTACACATTAAGCTTACGAAAATTTGTTTTTTTTTCAATCAAATCCTCGTCAAAGACCGTCACTTATTGATCCCAGACCCGTTAAAAACAATGGTATATTACCAAAATCCTACTCCATATCTTGTACGAACATCAAATACAATTTACCCGCCGTCGACACCCTGCAGCCTGGCGTGGAAAGTCAACCTGGCAAACTGGACATATGGCCTGCAAATGCCGAGGGACCAACTCCCCCCGTCGTAGTTAAAGAAAAGCCAACAAAGAGCGTTGAGTTTCTTCCCAAGGGAAATCAAAAACCAAGATTTCTTAATCAACTCGAGACTTTCTTACAAAAAGAACTCAAGGCATTAGACTGCACAGAGAAAAAGCCAAGTGAGAAGAGATTACAGGTTAGATTATAAAGGAATACCTCTTTCTATTATACACATACATCTCCAAAGCATCTCTTTTGTCCGTCTGGTCTCCCATTTATCCATTATCTCCTTCCACCTCCCTTTCACCTTCCTTTATCCCTTCTCCTTTGTCTTCCTCCTTCACCTTCCTCCTTTATCACCTATCTCCTTTGTCACCTTCTATCTCCTTTGTCACCTTCTATCACCTTTTTCACCTTCTATACCCTTTGTTACCTTCTATCCTCTGTGCCATTTTCTATCCCTTTATGTTACTTTCCATCCATTTTTTGGCCTTCTATCTACTCTTCACCTTCTATTCATTTTCCATTTTCCATCATCCATTCCCTTTTGCATCTTCTATCACATTTGCCACCTTCCATCCTCTTTATCATCTTTTATATACTTATCTGATGCCACCTTCTATCCCTTTTGTCACCTTCTTTCCATTTTTCTACATGCTATCCCTCACCTCAAAAGCTATGCTCTTGATACAGGTGTTTCGTGAAGTGTTTGAAAACTTGATTGAAGATTTCAAGACATATCGTCCATTGTTGTCTGCAATAAAAAACGAGTATGAAATGATGCTGATACATTTGAGGGACAAAATACGAGAGCTTGAACCATTGAAGGTAATAGAATACAAGCTTTGTGCATATGAACCTAATTTGCACATTCATGATTTAGATGTTATTGTTTTATTTATAAGTCTATGCTGGTGACCGTCTCAGAGAAATGTGAGAAAAGTTTGTTGGAAATAAAGGAGAAAGAGAAAGAAGGTTCAATAAAAACAATATTTTTATTCAACATTCAAAGTTTTGTACATGACTAGTTGTAGCAGGTTTATAATAGCTAGAAATATTCACATGATGTTCACTTTCATAGATCTTCAAGTGATCAAAGATGAAAACAAAAGACTTCAAGGTGTCATTAGATCCTTACAGTAAGTTTCAATGTTTTTCAAAGAACAGCCTTGTTCACAGTTTTTGGTAATGCATAGGAGAATAATGAGAATGTAAAATCAATTTTTCATTTTAAATCTTTTCTAAAGCACTAACATTTAGTTTTAACTTTCGTATTATGGTTCCAAGGATGTACATGTTTGTTTAATTTACAAGTCAGCCCGACCTTTTTCTGCTACAATGTAAATTTTTCTGCAAAATTATTATTCATTTCTTTCGAAAATTAAATCAATTCATTGTTTTTCCATTGACTGAACACAAAAATATTTGCATTGTAGAAGTAATGAAAGGGCTTGGTTTGTTAATGGTTATGAGTATTGTAGATTTTTTTAAATTACCGTTGCTATCAGGGGACTAGTTGCACAAAGGCCAAATAGAACTATCCTCTTGATAGGTAATTAGCAATACTTTTGAACACTTCAAAAATTTCTTAGACAGGAAAAATCTATGATTTGAATTTTACAATCAATGAGCTACAATATTTTTCTAGAATACAAATTTTCATCATCGCAAAGAAAATATAAACACTTTTTTCACAAGTTTTAAAAAATTACTACTCAATAGATAACACTATCCAGACCTCATGCAACTGGCCCCAGGACCCCACTGAAAAACACTCAAGTGACATGGGTTTCCAGAATACATATAAACATAATAAAGTAAATAAATTATTATATGAACATGTGATGTACAGACTTTCATTGGCATATGAGCATGTGACATAAACATATGATGTACAGACATTCTCTGGCACATGAGCATGTGACATAAACATGTGATGTACAGACCTTCCTTGGCACATGAGCATGTGACATAAACATGTGATGTACAGACTTTCCTTGGCACATGAGCATGTGACATAAACATGTGATGTACAGACCTTCCTTGGCACATGAACATGTGACATAAACATGTGATGTACAGACTTTCCTTGGCACATGAGCATGTGACATAAACATGTGATGTACAGACTTTCCTTGGCACATGAACATGTGACATAAACATGTGATGTACAGACCTTCCTTGGCACATGAGCATGTGACATAAACATGTGATGTACAGACTTTCCTTGGCACATGAGCATGTGACATAAACATGTGATGTACAGACTTTCCTTGGCACATGAGCATGTGACATAAACATATGATGTACAGACATTCTCTGGCACATGAGCATGTGACATAAACATGTGATGTACAGACCTTCCTTGGCACATGAGCATGTGACATAAACATGTGATGTGTAGACTTTCCTTGGCACATGAGCATGTGACATAAACATGTGATGTGCTGACATTCTTGGCACATGAGCATGTGACATAAACATGTGATGTACAGACTTTCCTTGGCACATGAGCATGTGACATAAACATGTGATGTGTAGACTTTCCTTGGCACATGAGCATGTGACATAAACATGTGATATGCTGACATTCTTGGCACATGAGCATGTGACATAAACATGTGATGTACAGACTTTCCTTGGCACATGAGCATGTGACATAAACATGTGATGTACAGACTTTCCTTGGCACATGAGCATGTGATATAAACATGTGATGTACAGACATTCCCTGGCACATGAACATGTGACATAAACATGTGATGTACAGACATTCCCTGGCACATGAGCATGTGGCATAAACATGTGATGTGCGGACCTTCCTTGGCACATGAGCATGTGACATAAACATGAACATGCTATTTACTGAAGAGAAGGCAAGCACAAGTTTTAGTCGTGCTATGTAGATTTCAGGCCATCATTAGTTTCAATTTCTATATAAATGTTGTACTTTTAAATTTGCCCAGCAACACTACACAAGCAGACTGATTATGCCACTGACTTCTTAATGTATTAAAATTTATCATAATGCATTATAATTTATAAGAAACAAGTAAAACAACATCAGAAAATGTGTGAATTTTGCAAAATTTCCAGTTTTCCTGATTCTTAATTCCCCATTACTTCTGCATGTTGTGTTCTTGTTTCTGCTTTGTCAAAAAATTTAAACTTTAGTTCAGAGGTTTTGTTTATTTTTGCATTAGAAATGACAAGTTGATGATGAAAGCACAAGTTGAAAAGGTAGTTACGTCTGTCTAAAGTTTTACTCTGGTATGATTAATGTCAATTTAACATTTAGAAGTAGTGACGTAATGCTGTCATTGAAATGTCATCATTTGACCAGTACCGTAGTAGTTACGTCTGTCTAAAGTTTTACTGTGATATGATTAATGTCAATTTAGACATTTAAATGTAGTGACGTAATGCTGTCATTGAAATGTCATCATTGGACCAGTACCGTGCATAGATAAAGGAGTACTGAAAGGGATGCTGTCTGTTTAAATGAGAGTAGCACCCCCCGGACTAAACGTATTACTTCATTTCAATCATAACTTCACTTACATACTGAGAAGGGGGGAGGGAGGTGTGTGTTTTAAAAAATATTGGTCTTTCCCTTTCATTCTTACTAACTTACTTATTATGATGCCAAAACCTTAAAATGCTTTGTCAGTCAATCATTAACTTAGAACTATATAATAACTGGAAAACACCTCGCGCCTTTGCACACTACATATTTATCATCGCGTCCACCCAAGCTCAATAGTACGGTCTTACAACACAAAGAATTAAAGGCCAATTTATACTTCTTACGACATGTGTCGCGCGACACTCTGGCTTGTGCAATCTATGGGCACGCGCCATCCGACAATCAAATAAAACATTTATAGTAAACGTGACAACCCATGCGACAACCGCGCGAAATCTGCATACAAATTTCAAATTATGTTGACATTTACATCAAATAGTGCATTGGCAGCATTGTTAAAATTCTTTGTGAATCAAATGAATTCATTTCTGCTAAAATGCTAGACAACTACGACAGGCTAATGACAATAGCAGGTATAATTTTTCAGCCAGGATTACCACTCTTCGATGTCAAACGCTTTTTGGCTTTCGTAAATCTGTCCCGTATTTTCTTCCATTTTTGTCTGCAAACAGCATCATTTGTTTCGAGCTTTTCGGCGATTTCCTTCCATGAATTCGTAGTTTTTTGTAGGTCTTTATAATCCCTTCTAGACGAGTCATATATATATAAGGGTATTTCCTAACTTCTTCTGCTAATCTTTCTTCGAATCCATCCATGATTTAATATTTTTCCATATTTGTGATAAACATATGCTGAGACAAACACAAATGACTTACCACGTGTTATTAGATAGCCAATTATCTTGCGCGACAATTCGATAAAATGTCTGCGACGTTACAACTTTTTGCGAGGTGCACGTGTGCGACAATACGGTGAAATTACGTCAAATGTTACTTCCGTCTTGGTGATATGACGTCATATTCCTCATGTGACATGGCGCGCGACACTTGTCGCATGAAGTATAAATTAGCATTTACAAGTCTTCTCTGAGATCACGCGTTTTGACACGTGAGAGGGGAGAGAGTGTATGGTCTCTTCAAAGTACTTCAACTTTTTCTATGTAATATTTATTTTTAGCTTCAACTTTTTACCTGTGATAATTTTTTTTAGCTTCAAGATGAACTTGGCAAGGAATATCTAAAATACAGAAACGAATGTGACGCCAGGTAAACTTTCATTACTTTTAAACATCATGTTTTCACTGTCAGTTCTACGCTCACGAGTTTTTTAACTGATAAAATTGAGAAGCAAAACCTGCCACTGCTTGCCTCGTCCTTGTCATATGTCATGTTGAGTCTTATAGTTCTCTAATTACGTAACTATCACTTCCGCTTGTAAATAATTATATAAAAGTTTCGCAGCCTGCATTGTAAACTATTAGTCTGATGATGTCTTTGGAATAAAGACGAAATATTACACCATCTTTTGTTTCAAACTCTTGTATTATCTTGAATATCAAGAAAACGAGATGTCCCTCTTCGGAATTTGTTTTATTTTGTTATGTGGAGGAGGGGATCCCATACCTCACAGTGAAGGAATCTCCTCAGCTAACCTCACGGGGGGGGCAACATCCAACGCTGAAGAGCGAGTCCTTCCCCACCTTACAATAAAAATGGGAAGAAAAGTTCTCATTCTTTCTGATATTTTTTATCCTACTGTATCTTTAAAAATCTCTTATAAACACTGTTGTAGAAAGTTGTTGATTGCCGACATCAACGATCTTCGTGCTCAACACGAAGACATGGCGAGGACTTCACGAGACCAACACGACGACATTTCAAAGACAGACATGGATTTCATGGATGGCAAGAGCGAAGATCCGGTTTTTCTCAGAATAGCTTTAAAGTTAGTTGATACATTTAATCACATTTAATCATATCACTTGACTTAAACATAAAGTTTTTTTTTATTTTTTCATCACCACCAGCCTGCTCTCGATTTCTCCTAAATGTCTCTTAGGTTTGCATAAGCCTGTGCAAAAACAGTAAACATCTTTTATATCTTAAATACTGTTTTACATAATATCTTGATCTTTCGGCCACCATAGATTTAAATTAGTTTTCATCAGTGGTGTATCTAGTGTACCTCAAAGTAAGTGACCCCAACACATTTTGGACCATATTTACATTTCTAAGCCCCTTAGAGACATGTCCACTGGTATAACTGTATTCTTTAAAAATTGAAAATAGTTCTAAAGATAGCAAATACCATAGTGAATGGTAAAAGTAATATAATAAGTTGAGAGTTGTTAAAAGAACTGTTTTAAGTAAAGAGCACAAACCTAATAGTTCTAAATTAAACGACACGATGCATTTCGGCAGACTACTCCTCAACGTCTACTAAACGAAAAAGGAGCAGACGTTGACACCTGAGGGGTAGTCTGCGGAAATGCATCGTTTCTTTTAATTTGGAACTATTCGGTTAGTGCTCTTTATTTAAAACAGTTCTTTTAAGAACTATCAACATATTATATTACTTTTACCATTCACTATGGTATTTGATATCTTTGAACTATTTCCAGATTTGTCACCACAACAAAGTCTCTATTTTATTCTATAAAATTCACAACAAATAATGTTTTTCTGAAAGTACTTTTAATTTGATATCAAGCAGCTATAATTTGTTTTGACGAACTCTGGATCCGCTACTGGTTGAGATTGCCCTGCTACCCGCCCCTCCGTCTCAAACTTCAGACTGTGGTCCTGCTTTGTCCCCTTTTTGTCTCGAACTCCTTTGACTGGTGCTTATTTGTTAAACAGAAAAGCGCGGGAAGACATCGAATTAAAGAATAACAAACTTGCCCAAATGGAAGCAGATTATGGTGACGTGGTTCCCAGGCGGGATTATGAAAAACTCAAGGAGAGCTTCCACTTGTTGGAAAACGATCTAGAAAAAAGTCGTAAGGATCAAGAACTTCTAATGAATGAGCACAGGTACACTGGAAGATGTATTCAAAATAGCTTGGCGCTAGTGCAAATGCATCATGGGTAGCATTTTTACGATTACGTCATCTTTTCTTGTAGTGCTCTTCTAGATACACAAAGAAAAATGGAGATAGAGCGAAAGGAGTACGTCAAGGAATGTGAGAACATGCGACGCTGTGCAACACCTAGGTATGTGGGCTCACCTTTTTTCTTACGTAAACATAAGGAATAGAAAAGAACTTGGAAATGAAAAAAGCAATAAATTATTACATTTTTTACTAAATAACAAATTGTTTTGAATTCAAGCCCTTTCAACTCTCAGCCATCGCCCAAGTATAAAGATTCGTTTACTTTAACATTCCAGACCGCGCTGGGAGAAATGCGGTCAGTATATTGAAGGTGGGGTGGAAAGATGGAAAGAGATATCACGTGATCAGACCAGTGACGTCATGGTCGATCTACTCCTAGCCGAGATTACTGGTACGGATGTTGCAGTTATTCAAGCAGGATCGGGCACAATCGAGGAATTTTTTGAAGGACTGGTAATGAGTAAATGGCATTTTGAAGAAAGCAAAAATCTTTTTACATGTGTCTCATAACCTCTCTGACTAACCAGGGGACTGGAGCGAATGTTCCAAAATATCTACGTTGTGATGGAAAGATTCGGAACAAAAGAATCAGTAAACGAGACGCTTTACTTTTGATAAAAGATGTTTGGCAAGAGAGAAGGTTGACTAAGATAGAGGTAAATGTAACGAGTGAGTTGAGTAGCGATCTTTTAGAATCGTAGTGTTTGTTATAAAATACCGAAGAAAACTTTTGTTTAACCCATTTTAAAAGCCAAATGTTAAAAGCCATACATTTACACGTTAAAAGCCACAAAACAACGCCATCTTTGAACGATCATGTGACAAAGATAATCATTAAATTTGTCTTAAGATGAAGTTCCTCACAAACTTGGTTTTAAGTAACATTCTTATTGATTAAAAAAGTATACTGAATAATGTACAAATTATTTAAAATAATGTAGAAATTCTGAATTGTATTTAAGTATTGTGTGATGATTTATTTTTTCTTTGAAGGTGCAAAATAGAAGAAAAAAATGACGTTATGAGTTAGGAAATGTAGTGACGTCATACTGCCGAATAAGTTGTGACGTCATTACTCTTTAGTCTGTTTTATATTTGTCTAAGTGTGGATGTCTAATATTATCATCACGTGTTTTATAATCTGTACTACCATTTTAAAATTTTAATTTTCATTTTAGAAATCCGATCCAGAATACGAGTCTCTCCCTTGCTTCCTGCACACGTATTTGGAGCGGAGATATGGAGCCGAGAACCTGACGTTCGAATGGGCTTATAATCTCCACGACGCATGCGTAAGATATCAACACGATCCAAGGATTTCAATGTTTAATGGAATATTATTGGATGAGGTGTGTTATCTGGTTTGACATAATCACGATTTTGATAACTTGGGACTGAGTTCTAATTATACTTGAGACGTAACTGCGCACTATCCGATTCTCTTGTTTGACACAGTGTATTCATTGTGTTTAATGAGGATCAAGCTAAAATCCTGCCAACGTATTTTCAATTTAAAATATCTTGATACCCTAATGATATTTCGACTTTATGTCAAAAAGTCATTATCACGCTAAATGATGATGTCTTTGATAATGACTTCTTTTAAATTTTATTTCTTGCTAATACAACACTGACCGGTTGCACAAAGCCTGGATATCAAGCTAAATGATGATGTCTTCCATAATGACTTCTTTTAAATTTTATTTCTTGCTAATACAACACTGACCGGTTGCACAAAGCCTGGATATCAAGCTAAATGATGATGTCTTCGATAATGACTTCTTTTAAATTATATTTCTTGCTAATACAACACTGACCGGTTGCACAAAGCCTGGATATCAAGCTAAATGATGATGTCTTCTATAATGACTTCTTTTAAACTACATTTCTTGCTAATACAACACTGACCGGTTACACAAAGCCCGGATAGCGTTATCCATTGGATCGCAAAATTTTTGAAACTTGTAGAAAAGGTGTTTGTATTTTTCTTACGACAAAGAATTTCTTATTCTTCGAAACAGTATTTTATTTTAGTGATTGCACAGTTAAAGTCGTATATTTTTCTTTTAAAAGAGAATTTTGAACGTTCAGAAAAACTCGCTATCCAATGGATAGCGCTATTCGACCTTCATGCGCTCGGCCCCTGGAATCTTGAGTTGACAAGATGGTGTTTTTGGATTATATTTTATCATATATTTCTTCAACTAACTATATTTCTTTGACTAATCTTCAATGTCATTGGTCAAGTATTTTCTCCAATGTCATTGGTCAAGTATCTCCTCCAATGTCATTGGTGAAGTAATTCTTCCAATGTCATTGGTCAAGTATTTCCTCCAATGTCATTGGTCAAGTATTTTCTCCAATGTCATTGGTCAAATGTTTCCTCCAATGTCATTGGTCAAGTATTTCCTCCTGTCATTAGTATTTCCTCCAATGTCATTGGTTAAGTATTTCCTCCAATGTCATTGGTCAAGTATTTCCAAAACATTTTATTTGTCGATGGGCTGTTCTTACTTACTTTTCCCAACTTTTCATTCGCCCCAGGACATTTTCTTAAGATTTCTCTCACATTTTCTACGTATAGATTGACGAGTCTGTGTATCACGACCAACGTGCGATGTTTAAAAGACTCTCAAATTCTTTGAAAGCTGTAAAGAAAGAGGATGAAGATCACTCCGAGGATGTAAGACACGCTTTATGCTTCTCTATTTAATATCAAAAGTTTAAGCTTTGCGTGTATATTGGAAGTCCGAAATCCTGCAAAGTTTAAGCTGTGGATTCTGGAATCTATGTGTACGAAATCTTGAATCCACTAGTATGGAATGCGGAATCCACTAGTATGGAATCCGTCATCCACAAGTACGGAATCCGTAATCAAGCAAATTCAAGCTTTAGAATACGGAATCAACGATTATGTAATCCGGAATCCAGCAAAATTCATGCTTTTGAATCCCTGTCCATATCTAGTTTAGAATCTAGAAAAATGCTGCAAAATTCAAGCTTTGGAATACGGAATCCACAAGCATGCTTGATCCGGAATTCCACAACCACAATGGATTCCTTTACGTAGGGCAAAAAAACATTTATTTTAATATTTTTTTTTACAGTGGAGTGTCACGAAAGACGTTTTGAAGACATGTCTACAAGAAGGTTTTCAAACAATGAGTGAAACAAACATAACAGAATTATTGACTGTTGCGGAGAGCGAAATGACACCAGAAGGAAACATCCTGTATAAAAATATTCTAAAAGAGCACAATGAGGGAACAACGACGTTGTTTATGGATAAAATTGTTGAATTTGATCGCATCGAAAGAATTGCTTTTGTCAAAGATGTAGAGAATTCTCTACCGGCAAAAAGGTAGTAGCATGTAGGTCCCTTGTAGATCCCTTGTAGATCTCATGTAGATCCCACGTACGTCCCATGTAGATCCAACGGAGGTCGCATGTAGATCCCCTGTAGATCTCATGTAGATCCCACGTAGGTCCCATGTAGATCCTACGGAGGTCGCATGTAGATCCCCTGTAGATCTCATGTAGATCCCACGTAGGTCGCATGTAAATCCCATGTAGATCCCTTGTAGGTCCCATGTATATTTTAAGTCGATTCTATGTTAATCCTACGATCTACGTTAATCCTACGTAGATCTTAAATCCATTCTACGTTAATCGTACGTTTATCTCATGTCGATCTTAAATCGATTCAAAGTTAATCCTACGTGCATCCCATGTAGATTTCACATAGGTCCTACGATCATCTCATATAAATTCTAAGTTCATTCTACGTTGATCTTGCATGCATCCCATGTAGATCCTACATAGACCCCAAGTACATCTTAAGCTAGTTCTTTGTACATCTTATGTATATCCGAAATAGATCTAAATTTCAGTCTGTGACGTACATCACATGTTGATCTTATAAAGTTCCCGCGTTAATCCTATCAAATCCAAACATTTCTGTTGAGATTCTTCTTGAAGTTATATCACCATTTCATTTTTCCTAGAGAAATTAACGAAGAGGAGCTTCGTCAAGCCATCCTTAACGTAAATCCGACGTTACCCTCGACATTACTTGATCAGTACGTTTGCCGAGCGTGTCCCGAGGGTTTCACGAAGGCTGACGATGTTGTGGATCGAGGTACAGTAATCAAGAAATTGCAAGGTTTTATTGTTCGACGTTTTTAAATTGAAGTTAAGAAGAGAGATTTGACAAGGAGTCTATTGACAGGTTGTATAAAATTATTTTACACAATGTTTTTATTTCCCATTGTATTCATGCTTTCTGTTTCCCAAATTATTTATCTTCTCCGATTCATAAGGTATTCATGTTCGCTAAAAATTGTTTTAAAAATAGCATTTGCCATGTCGGATGGCCTAAATAACCTAATAGTTCTTAAGGGAACTGTTTTACAACTAATGCCAACCAAATAATTTTAAAAAGAAGGACAGTTTTAAAAAGTAAAAGACACGATACATTTCGCCGACTTCTCATAAGGTATCAATTACATTTTACTATTTAAGAAAGCGTTAAACTTGCTCTCTTTTTCCCAAGGTATTTATTTTCTCTATTTCCTAAGATATTCATGTTCTCTGTTTACTAAGATATTCATGTTCTCTATTTCCTAAGATATTCATGTTCTCTGTTTACTAAGATATTCATGTTCTCTGTTTCTTAAGATATTCATGTTCTCTTTTTCCTAAGATATTCATGTTCTCTGTTTCCTAAGATATTCATTTTCTCTGTGTCGTAAGGTATTCACTTTGTTAGTTCTTTATGCTGCACACGATACTAAAACTTTCAAATTTCTGGCATTTAGTGATAATTTCGTAATCAGACAAAATATTTAGTGCCATCTCTTTTCTAAACGCTCTTTTTTGCTGGTGAGTTGCCATGGCAACTCATACATCATGCAACAGCATTGACGCAGACTGCTCTCGACACACTCGTGCAAGCAGTCATTGTCTGACTTCGTTCATGTTTTGTCATCGGTATTCTTTTAAACTTCTGAAAAAAAACTTCGTGCGTCATATATAATTACGTCGGTATAGCGTGTGTGGAATATTGTGAAAAGGTTTTTCGTCAAATATAATGGTCCTCATTGTTCCCCCTAGATTTGACGTCTTTGCACTCATTTCAGACAAAAAAACTGTGTGAATTCTTACAACAAACGATAAATTTCTTACGATGTATAAATAGCTTTTGAACTGCAGAAACAACTTTGTGCTTAAACAGAAGAATTTAATCAAGATGATATTTTTTCCCACATTTACAAAATCTCGCTCATTTCATCGCCCCACACCAGATCACAAGCATTTTATGAAATTTCCATGTCCTTCCACTGCAGTTCAAGCTATATCTTTGAGCCAACTGCGTGTTCTCAAATAATTTCCCAAGGGAAGGCACGTTCCCAGCCGACCCACTGACGTTTTTTATTGTTTTGACTTGAATAAACCTCCCCTTTTCTTTAAATTAGACCGATTAGGGCACTTTTTTTTAACATCTCATTTTCTATGTATAATGTGAAAACACGAAACTCTGAATGAGCCTCCAATGTCACTATTTGTAGCTTCTACAGGTTAAGGGAAAATAATCCATAACTGATTTGACGTTTGTTCAAAGGATTGCAAAAGTAAGACTACATTTATATTATCGCGTGATTTTGGTTTGCGTGAGGTCAAGCAAGGTAAACGCGGTAATGACTTAGAACCTTGTGTTTTTGTTGTTAATTATTGTCGTGATCATCGGCGCGGCAAATGTTGATACTCTTAGCTACACGAAACAAAAACAGTTTTTCCGGCGCACAATCTACAATATAAACTACGATTACGTTTCGTCCGTTGGTTCTGTAATGATGAATCAACAAAAGAGAGAGAGAACGGTTTGAAATCTCCCTTAAAATTCGCAATAAGTTCTTGCATGATAGTTTCAATCTGCCCGCTGTGCAATGATAATCTTTTATGTTGTGAAGAGAATGAAGTGGTAGCTAGCAACAAAGGCTGTGTTAATTATGCATCGCGTATATTGATGATGTAATTATGCTTGAAGAAAAATCAACATCGAATTAAATCTGTGAAAATCTGCGAATCGAAGACGATTTGCTGATGTATTTTATCGGTTCAACTTTCCACATCGAAACTGTTGAAACTTGGAAAGTTTTTAAAAAGAACAAGGTTTGCGGAAGGACACGTGAAGGCGATCAACTTTTGAATACAAAACATTAAATTGCGATAATGACCGAACCCATTTCTGAGTCACGCTATTATTTTGAAGTGCTCAACCTCTGTACATACAGCGCAGGGAATGGGAGAAAGATCTTCCCTATCGTGACGAACACGAATAATCGCTCAGGATTTCGTGCAGAAATCTGCAGCTGCCATATTTGGCAAATTAATCTGACCAAACATCCAGCTCTCATTATCGCGTGCAGATAAGAATAGGCCACGATAGATGTCTATTTACACTCGCTGAGTCGTGCAGTCACATGTCGTGAGCTGGTTGGAGCAATTTGAGATGCTATCACGCAACCCACACGGAGCTTCGTACGAGCTTATTTAACGCTCCGCCCAGTAACCTTGAGATCAGTATAGCAGCAGCACTCGTAGAGGTCACAATGAGAGAGTCTTCTTCGCTGGCCATGCAAGTGGCTCAATCCTGTATGGAAGCTGTATTGCTTGGAGCGAGCGCATTTGGTCTTGTGATGGTTTACCTTGTTGGAAATGTGGCGATGGTGTTTCATTGCGGCGAGAAGATGGTTGTCAGAATGTTTAATTACATTTCACGCGTTCCCTTACCTAAGGAAACCTTCATCGAGTCCTTGTTCACTGCGAAAATGATGAAAACTGCTTGGAGAATGATTTCTCTCTATATTAAATCAAAAGTGAAAATTGGTGGAAAGATTCCCGATGTGCAGATGATCGATGCAAAAACTATGAGAAGGTAGCCGAGACTTAAACAAGCATTTGTTTGATTATAAATGTGTATTGTCGACCTTATCCAAAGTTAGACTTTTTTTTATTGTCGTTCAGATAAAAGCATTTTATTGCGTGTATATTGCATGAGTGAAGTGTCTTACACGCGCTTATTAAAAATATCCCTTCCTTTTTACAAAATATCATTTCCTTTCTTTCCGAACATCTGTAGAGTAAACCTTTGCGATTTCATGAGAAACGGAAGACCGCTGGTCTTGAATTTCGGCAGCTCTAGCTGACCTCCGTTCATGGCCGATCTGCGAAGCTTTATGAAAATGTCGAGAAGATACTCGAGCATCGCGGATTTTGCCATCGTCTATATAGAAGAAATACATGCCGCTGACGGATGGAAGTTTAAGGTATGCACAGTTGGAAATCCTCTTAGTGAATGAGATCTAGTTTTAATCAGACTAGTTTAAGTCAGAGACCTTCTCCAATGTACACCCAAACAAGTGTGTGGAATAAAGTTGCAAAATACTTCGTGAGCATTTCATGTCATGTTGTTTGAATTGTCTTTACTACCATTTCAGATGTGTAGAACACCCACACACAAAATCATAGCAGTCCGTGCTCAAATGACAGGCTTTCAATAATTATGCATATTTGACACTCCTAGTCTTTAACTAGTTCCCATACCTCTTCAAACAACGATTGACGATGATAATTAAATGGCGAAATGATGTTTTTTAGAGCTTCAAATTAATTGAAAGTGTTATAAATATTGTTTGTTTGACCGACTCGTCTGTGGGAACAATAAAGACTCTTCTAGTTAATTTTTCCTCGCCCTTGAAAATGGTTTAATTGCTTTAATGACTTCTGTATACAAAGAAATTGGTTCAATTCGACGATTCGTCATTTTTTTATAAGGTTATTGTGTGTTAATTTTTAAATTCGATTTTTTGATGTCGTAGGACAACGTCGTCATCAATCAACATCGTTCTTTGGACGAACGCCTGCAAGCAGCCAAACTTATGAGCAGCGAGGTCGACTTGGGCAACGTTCGCCTCTTCTTAGACACTATGGACAACAAAGCGAACGAAACATTCGCCGCCATGCCAGAAAGGCTCTACGTGCTTCACAACGATCGAGTATCGTATATTGGAGGCCTGGGACCGTTGCTTTATTGTGTGTCGGAAGTCGAGAATTGGTTGCGAGCTTTTGCAATGAGCAAAACGAAAATGCCGGCTTTCACAAGGAAACCTAACCTTTCAAAGGGAAAATTAATTAAAATCAACGTAAAAGGAAAAAGGAAGCGAAGCTGGTTGCCGACTGTGAGGAAGACTAAGCCTTTTAGACAATGGTTTCATAAGTCTGCAATTGAAAAGCACGGAATGTAGGGACGTATGCTTATGTGAACCATATACATTCCCTTCGACACACTTTTACAGAAAATAGCCCATTAAATACAACTTTCAATATCCATTGAAGATATGATAAAAAAGTTATTATCAAACACGTTCGTCAGATGACTTATTGCGCACGCGTAAAACATGAAAAACATTCATACGTCATAAGCGCATGTACAGTGTAAATACATATATGTACATACTTATACAATACAAACGTATAATATATTTCGACATATACTTAGATTATGCAATATTATTTCGTATATATTTCCACACGTATTGTTCGCTTACAAATAATTTCATAAATTATGACGGATTTCGAGGGAAGCATTCGACAGAATGTCTTGAAATCCCGATGACATTTTAAAAGCATTTATGTAATTAATTTGCAAGAAAACGATGCAGTTGCAAATGTATTGATATTTGTAAATAATTTGTTGAGTATTCTGTATACAAAATTAAACATCGATCATTTATATTAACTTACTCGACTCCTCGACCGATTTGGCAAAAAGCTGCAATTACATACTTCAAATTGACAGCTAATGTCCTCCGCCACTCCCACCTCGTTGGTGTGAAGTTTTAAATCTCATTTCACTTCAACGGTTGTCGTCAGCGTTATGTTTGAAGTACCCAATGAAAGTTACAATTGCACTCGTTTCTCTAGGACCTAATCAAAAGTTAACTGAATTAACCGTAGCATTTCCTTACTGAAAGCAAGGTCAAAGACTCGCTCCCTTTATGGAGAGAGTACTTCGTTTGGCCTCGAGCCTAATCCCACGCTTTTACTTAATCGAATCGACTCATGAACACTCCAAACACTTGATAAAGCCTTGTAATCTCCTCTCTACTTCGACCCTCAAGCGAACGGGCTTTACTTTGATTTAACGCTCGAGGAAAAGCCGTGTAAATCTTCCCATACAAATTTACATCTTGGCAACGAAGCCATATATTATTCTCAGGATATTAAAATCGCAGATAAGATTTTGCTTCGCCCGTTCAATGTCCAAAGATTAATACAACAAGACTTAACGTGAATTAGTATAAAACGCAAAAGCAAATAATTATGTCTTCATCAAAATATCTCTTAGTTGTGTTTTAAGTATACTAGTGCAGTAAATACTTCTTAGTGTTTTAGCAATAGCTGCTCATTTAAATTCAGTGCACAAACTAGAAGAACAAAATTTGACTCTAAAATTGGAAGAACAGCGAGCTAACTTAAATACATGTCTTTGTTTCTTTTTAGTAAAGCACCAAAATATACTGTTAAATCTTCTATAAATTAAAATCAAAAATAGCTATATCCATTTCCTCAATAAAGTACCACGTCCTTAGACGATTCATTGTGAAAAATTAAAACATTGACTTCGTCAACAAGTCAGTCATCTATTTCCGCAAGAAGCGGACGTTTCGTGACTGCTGGCATATTAGATAATTAATTGCCCTGCCTGTGTGCTGGCTGGACACTGGAAAGCACTTGAAATGCTAGCAGGGTTCCAACGATGTATTTTAAACACGCGATGACCATGCCTGGAAAGCGTTTCCGTATTTTTAGCATGTTTTATCGTGAGAAGGCTATCGCGGTCACAATTTCAAGAATGTGGCTTCCCATCTTAGTTGTTATCTTCTGTTATTTTTTCAAGATGCTCACTTTTCGTTTTTATCGTCTTTCTTTCCGCCGTCATTAAGCAATTATGACATACACGGACGGGTGCTTTACACAAAGAGCATATATTGCATGATACACGTCTAAGGAAGGCAATTTTTCTTCTTCTAATGGCATCCATCGTTCCTTTCAACTTGAAACGAGATTTTCTTAAATTTTCAGGATTCGTGCTTAAGATGTAAAAAAATGAGTAGAAATGTAGCTATATATGTTGCTATTTAGCTATATATGTTGTTTATCGACTTCATAAAGCAAAAGAGTTGATTTACAAAGTAGAAATTTTGAATTTCATATAGCTTTATGGCAATGTAAACCTTTTAAAAGGACCTACGGAGGGCAGAAAATTTTAAAATTACTCTGTAAACGTCAGTCAACTGCTACAGACACCAATATAAATCATCCAAAGTTTCGTGCAGACATGAACAAAGAAAAAGTTCAATTATGCCTTGACGTCTGTTGTAAGGAAATGCTGTTATTTTTCACTAAATTTACTCTGTATGACGCGAATGCTCGCTCTCGATACCTATATCACACACGCAATTCGGTGCAGAACGCTAAAAAAAGCCCTCACATGCAGGAATAACGAGATTCCACAAGGCATTTTTTGTCGTCAGGAAATATGTCAAGTATTTGTTTAAACAATATAGTTTACAAATATTGTCCACCTATAGTTACTCTTTAGAAACGAGATTGCACGATATATGTAAGTTAAAGTTACAATGTTTTCATGTCGAAAACCTTTTTGTTTCAACTATTAACGTTTATTAAAAACCACGGCAGATACGAAAATTCAACTTGTTTTAAAAATGTCCTTCATGCGACAATTCGTTCTGTAAACTAAATCCAAAACAGTGCATTATTTTCTAATTATTGACACAGTAATCTTCTATCAACATTGTTCATCGCAAATGAGGCCGACAAAATGTGCGCATGTATCTTCATTTTGCAAGAAAGAATTCTATTCTAGATTGATCAAGTCAGCCTACTTCGTCAAAACACACAAAATTATCGTACCACATTAGACGGCAATTATGCTCACGAAACCAACGTCAAAGAAAACCGTGTCTTCCGTGCTAAAATATGCAAGCAGCAAAATTAAAAATTGCTTTTTGTATCAGCATGTCGTTGCGCAAGAGTTCCTTTTTTTGAATAGACTGCACTTGTACGATTTAGCTACAGATGCTTAAGGATGAATTTTCGGTGCAACGATAAAACTCTTTAGTGCGAGCTTGAAGGCACGAAAACACAACTGCCAGCGTTTCTATTTAAAGAATTGTAAGTTTGCGTGCTTCTACGTTTGATGATATGCAATTTTTTTAACAGTTGCGTGATATCGTGAGTGTGTGTCCTACAGGGGGTTAGTTTATCAGTCACGCTATGTGATAGACGTCTTTAGAATGCGACTCCATCCAGCGCAAGTGCCCCGAAAATTGTTTAGTATCTCGCTGTTTTTAGCCGTATGCCATAGTTCACTTGCACGAAGAGGCAACAGTTGCTTTGAAGCAGCACAGTTTGTCGACATTAGGCGAAATGAAACGAGCTGTATGTGTTGAATACAATATGAGAGATTGGCTTTTGCGTTTCATATTGGGAGATGTGGGGATCTATACAATTGTCTTTGATGTTTATCAGTCTGACTGGGGGCTTTTTAAGTTAGAAAAAACACTGCGTTGCACGAAATGATTGATGAATTCTCGTTGGACAAGGTCTTTGACTCACTCCCTACTTTTTAGCTATGAGGCGTTTTGTAATAAACACAACTGAGCATTTTGTATTTCTTGTACAATTTAATGCTCCGCAGAATGCAACTAAAACCTGTTAGATAAGACGAAAGATCTAGAAAGGAACTAGCTTCCTTTTCTCCTTCAACATGACACACGACCAAATCTGTCATGCATTGACGCAGACATGAATGAAATTATGAATATTAACATGACAAGGTCAAAAGTGTCTGCGCAATTCAAACAATTTTCACTCCATCGTCGATTAATGTATATTATAGCTACATTCTCTAACGATTTGCGTATAAGTCCTTGGCTTTTATTTGTGGTTTATCGCTGCGGTTTCACGCGGCGAGAAAGATGTTTGCTTACAGACTTTGAGAATATCTGCACAATTATTTAGTACACGTGGTTGTCTCGAAGATGATCCATTTGAGGGAACCCTCTGATATCTCAGCTCACAAATTGATTTGCCTTTCACATGCAATGATGGCTGTATAGTTCCGTTGAAGCCAGCCCAAAAATTCTTCTATGCAAATGCAAATATTTTGGATGATATCGCTACCACTGACCACCTAGCACAATAGAACATATTCTTTTTACAAAAGGGCCGATGTATGTATGTATGAGAAAATAACTAAGAGCAAATTATTTGATGTATAATTTTTGCAGGATCACTTTTACTATCGGCAATATGTAAATCCTTAGCTAAACTCTTGTCTATAGCTACCTATGGTAAATCTGGCTATATACCCTGCTAAATTGACCGTAAATTGTGTAGTATTTCATGGTCTCAATAAATCGATAATTCTTTAACTTAAAAAAGAAGAAGACAGCATATAAGAGTGCGCGAATTGTAACAGTTCAGCAGTTGAACATTGTATCCAAGGGAATTAATGGTCATTAGCTTCTATAATATACAGTCTTTATTTCATAAAGATATGGTGCACCTACTACAACGATAGGCTTTATTGTTGACAGGATTAGGAATGGCTATATGTAAGTTAAGTAAATACTTGTCGAGCTTTCAAAGCCTTTGGTAAATCACGCGATGTTTTATCTGATTTGCTAGAACACATATGACTACACTTAGCTGGCTACAAACTCAGGAAAATGTATTTCTTATTCACGCACAACCTGAGATTAGCTATTCTCTTTCTCTGTAAGAAGCCAATTGCTTTTGTACTCGTTTAACATTGACAGCAGAACATATAGATCTTTCACTTGTATGTAACTTTCGTTTCAGCATGTTTTCTTATGCTAAATCGTATAGGCGGAATTATGAACTTGTTTGATGTGAAGCTAGCTTGCTGAGTCATTGTTTTGATCTTCGCTTTCGTGAGCAAACAGAATGTTGTGCAAATATACCTTGTGAATGAATGTTAATGCTGTTTATGGATTTATTTGCCGCCTTGATAAACATAGAAGGCCCATAACTGCTAAAAATTTGAAGGTGAACGCTTTTTTTGAACAATGAAATTCTTTTACGAAAGTCGAGTGCGGGGTATTTCCCATTAGAAAGTCCGCTCGCTGTCTCGGCAACAACCAAAACACTGCGGACGGCAGAGAGGGTTTTCAGTAGCTACAATAGCTACAAGCCTCGGAAAGCTGAAAACGGCTTGCGTTTTTGATGACGTCGATTTCTTGTTGAAGGAAGAAGTGCTTTCTTCGATGAAATAAGCATGACAAGTGCGAATGTAATGATGATATCGAAGATTGAATGAAATCTATATACATATGCATCGGTTCTCTATTTCTCAGTACAAAAACTAAGCTGGTCTTGAGCTTCTCCGATCGAGAAAGGATGTACATGCTCACTGCACGGCGGAAAGAGCAAAATATTGATTCACAAGCTTCAATAAGACTTTCAAGATTGCGTGCGCTCGTGCTCGAGGAATGCTTACTATAAATATTGTCTGAGTAAACCTTTCTAATGTCATCAAAACTTGACACGCGATCCATAGCTCTCGTAGCTACAAGCTATATGGACGAACAAACTGTGGGCGATCGTATGAAATATTGCATCATTGACATGAAACAAAAACTACAGATTCAAAACAAAAGCGTTCAAAAGCAGGAACTATTAGACTTAAGC